TGGTTTTACCCTTTGTTGAACATGAAAATAGGATTATTAATTAGCACACATGTACAAACAAAAAATGTTCTATACTGACTAATGACACACAATTTAATGACCAAAATTTGTATTACTATTTCATTACTTATTACATTAATGGTCATACTTAGTAAGTGTATGTGGTGCTGGTAGCTGGACATTTTTCCTTAAATATTCATATGCCTTTGGTGAATACATATGCAACGTTAAGGTAAAATGATGCTGTTCTTCTGTTTATTGACCATAAAGTTTCTCAAACAGTTCTTCTTTCACGAGCTTGGGTATTCTTCAGACGTTTCTGCGATGAGTCAATTCTCTCCTGCATTTCCAATGTTCTTTTTTTATACGCAGATGGGACTTCACAATGATTCTATGAAAAATAATAGCACATGCCAGTAACTTAGGAAATTTTAATATGAAAATCACGAAAAGAGAAAAGGAAAACATTGCATCGAATCCTACTAACTACTGCACTAGCTTTTGATGCTAAAGATTAAGTAAGCAAGAGATATCTTCAAATTGGTGAACATTGATCATAAAATAAATGAAATGAAACGGGGTTTAACGTCCTACTGTTTTGCTTTGAATGGGCCTATAGAGGCGGGCATACGCCATACAGTGTTATGAGGAAAATTTTGCCCAGACAGCAGCACTACAGCCTACTAGAAATTAAAATTAGGCCTTTATTTACACGACAAGCTCAAAATCAACTCTGTAGACCCTCGGATGGCTTGGATACAGCTTGGATTTATCCATTTAAAATTAAATCAAGAAATGGCCGACCAAGCTAAAGTATACCGTTAGTCACTAACGCACTAACGTCACTAACTGGTGATGAAAGGCCTACCAAGCGAGGATACCATAGCCATTGAGAATGTTACTTGATAATCGAGGATATGTGGGTGGAGTTACATCGTCTGTCAATCAAACGATCGGCAATGCTCGTAGACGCCGCGGACACAGTTTCTAATAGCTCCGTTCAGGATAAAGTAATTTGACTGAAATTTTCAATATTTTCTTTTTTTATCATCTATTTTTGAATTATTATAGCAAGAATGGCCAACACTCTATCAAACTCTTAACTAATGTATCTTTAAATTGTTATAGAGAAAAGGCCATGCAATTTGCATAAACTTTTTTAAAATCTGAGTTTAGAACATAATCTATCTAATTACTACGAATGCGCGGTAAAATTGCACTAGACCTGGCGTATCTATATAGACTTGGTCGATATTTTGATTTGGCTCTTCCTAACCTATTTAATTAAATGTTCACACTTATATAGTAGGGTGAAAAGTAACACCCTGTGCTTTCGTCGAGGGATTTCATGGAGAAAACACCCAAAAGCAAAACACTTGGGTCCACGCTGATCGTTTTTCTTGAGTGGTCCGCCATATATTGTTTACCCTGACTACACCTTCCAAGATGGCGCCCGATAGTCGCGCCACCGTACCAGACGTCAAAAGTCACGTGCTTGCTATTCGAGTCTAAATTTCTAAGGTCTATACTACACTATGACCTGGAAGAATTGTTATATAATCTGCGTTCTGGATAGCGTGAGGGATTAGCCAATGGAACCATCTGTTACGGCGACTTGTTGGCGTGCGATGCACGGAACTGTGGGTAAACCATTAGAAACGCCAATGCTGAGTGATTAATCAATGTCTGGCGTTATAGGGTCAATAGCCGCTCGCACGACTCCTGACTCGACCCCCCAATACAACTAGCCATATCTTTATGTAATGTAGGTCATCGAAAGTATCAAAAAACAAAACGAAATATAGATATTTTGATCAGATTGTCAGTAACTTGACCAGGTGGATGCCCAGAACTGAATGTTCTTTACCTAGCAAATTGACTATGAGTAAAGCGGCATAATATTATATTTTAAATTTATAAATTATATTTTAAATTTGTAAACTAATTTTCAAAATTATAAACTAATTTTCAAAATTATAAACTAATTTTCAAAATTATAAACTAATTTTCAAAATTATAAACTAATTTTCAAAATTATAAACTAATTATAAACCAATTTTTAAAATTATAAACCAATTTTCAAAATTATAAACTAATTTTCAAAATTATAAACTAATTTTCAAAATTATAAACTAATTTTCAAAATTATATAAACTAATTTTCAAAATTATATAAACTAATTTTCAAAATTATATATACTAATTTTCAAAATTATATATACTAATTTTCAAAATTATATACTAATTTTCAAAATTATATACTAATTTTCAAAATTATATACTGATTTTCAAAATCTTATATACTGATTTTCAAAATCTTATATACTGATTTTCAAAATCTTATTCTGATTTTCAAAATCTTATTCTGATTTTCAAAATCATATTCTGATTTTCAAAATCATATACTGATTTTCAAAATCATATACTGATTTTCAAAATCATATACTGATTTTCAAAATCATATACTGATTTTCAAAATCATATACTGATTTTCAAAATCATATACTGATTTTCAAAATCATATACTCATTTTCAAAATGATATACTCATTTTCAAAATTTTCAAAATGATATACTCATTTTCAAAATGATATACTCATTTTCAAAATGATATACTAATTTGAGCCGAGATAAACTTCCTCGCTGAATAGCAGTAAAATAATAATACTTTCACACCTAATTCAAATATTGATAATGCAAATATGGTTTAACTAAACACTTGATAACGCAATTTATTTATTTTCTCGATTCCAGTTAAATCTCAAGGGTTCTCGACTGAAGAAGCTATGGTAGAATTTTACAGCTACAATCCTGATAATATTACAATGGGCATTGTATTTGATGGGATGTCTAGTACATCTACTACTTTACCCAAGACTATCACATATGCCCTAAGACCCAAAACAGACAAGTCCTCATCCTGGCAAACAGAATTTAATGTACCTTTTATTCAGTCTGGTGGACCTAGAGCCAATACCGGTAATCAACCAGGTAAGCGATTATATATTCAGAATGTACATTGACTGATATTTTATGGAAGTAAACACTTATGAAAATGGTCCTGATTTTTTTTTTTTTTTTTTGACTTTGTTGGTAGCAATAAAGCTTTGAATTCTTTGTTCCAAATAAATGAAAATCATCAGCCAGTAGTCGCTGAATTGGTCATTTTTTAAAAATATCCTGAAACTATGTTCTCATCTATTTATTATATTGTTTTAATTTTTCGAGGAATGTTTTCGGGGCATGAGGGTTTATAGGTGGCTGGGATTATCAGAAAATACAACATTAAGTTATAACAAGAAAAATGAATTTCCTGGGAATTAATACAACAACAACATTATTCCATCAATGATCTGATGAAAAGTTTGTACTATCAGCAGTAGTTCTAAAGATAATATGATGAATTGAATCAGCAGCCTCTGTAGGGGATGTTGCCCAAACAAACCAGCGCCAATTATAATCTTATTAGAATCAGGAATTTATAATACACCGTTGGTATTTTAGTTTTGCTTTATAATTTAATTTTAGCATGTCGTAAAAAAAAAATGGCCTGGAAAATCATTCTTTTATCGATCAAGTCTGATTTTTTAAAAAGACATTTCTATTTACCATACATTTCTGTATCACTCCTTTTTGTGCCGAAATGTAGTTACTTCGCTTTATAGTTGTTCCCAGTTAGGATACCAGAGCTACCTAGTTATAGTTATATGAAGTTGTTATATTGTTTATAAACACCCTGGCGATTTCTCGTAGTTGTCTAGATATTTGAAACCATCGAAATGCAATCCAAATAAGGTTTTCAACTGATAAAGTTTTCATAATTCTACAGATTACATAGCGTCCAATTTCGTGTTGTATCAAGCCTATCTGGATCAGGCGATCATCAAAGTCAGGACACCTACCGCCAATATGTCTGACATTGAGTATGGAATACAGAAGATGCCATACCCAGCATATGTCCAAGATAACATGATTGCAATTATACAGAGAGTTCTACCAATATTAATGTGTTTTACTTTTATCGTCAACGTTTTTATCACAGCTAAAAGCATCATTTATGAAAAAGAGAGAAATTTAAAGGTAATATTATGCGTTCTTTCTGAAAAAGTAATATAACTAGGATACGTCTCGATAATGAAGTCCTTCGACTTCTGGAAGCGAAATATCTGTAAAATTGGATTTTTGTTAGTAATTTTGCCTTTTCGGAAATCGTCTTTTTCTAACTTGGCTAGAACAGATGATATTAGATTTTTTTTTAAAATTTATAATACAGGTAGTTAGTGGTGCTCTCCCCAGTTCGTTAACGTACTTTACAATTCATTCTGTACAGGGGTGTACTTGGTAAAGTTATACTATTATATATGACATTGGCATCAGGCTAGACGGTTGGTTTAGTAAACAATACTTAGCTGTTAATCTCTCATTTAAAAATGAGACAGGAATTCAGGATAAAATGACTAAACTAACACTAGTCGAATAATCATATACTAAAGTAATACGACATTTGAATATGTATTTTTATATTAAAGTTAAATATTTTCTCTTCAAAAGAGTTTGTTAGCTATGTGAACATGTCAAACGAGAAGTGTTATCAGGTGTTATGAAACTCAAAATGTGAACTCTTTACGCATAGTGTCTTGTTTTAATGGAAATTACATCCAAAGAGTTAGTTATAAATTTGTCATACGAATGAAATATACAATTCTGACTTTAAAATTCCAAATATTATTTATTTTCTGAAACGTTTAAACTATATTGTAATCTATGATTATTATGCGTACAGCGTGTAGAATCCCTGAATGTTGTACATATGGTAATTATGAAAGCGAAGGTATTCTAGCTATTTCTTGCAACTTTTGAAAAAAAAATTTTTTGTTGAAGTCTTTGTATATTCTTTTCCAGGAATCGATGAAAATGATGGGTCTCAAAAGTTCAGCGAACTGGACTGCTTGGTTTTTAACAACGTTTATATATCTATTTGTTGCTATAATAATATATACTGTTATAATGGCAATACCTATAGGCGACAATGGACGGATCTTACGGAATTCAGATTTATCAGTTATTTTTTTGTTTTTGCTGGCTTACATTATTTCTATAATATCATTCTGTTTACTTATCAGCGCCTTCTTCAGCAAAGGTGAGTAACTTCAAGGAATCTCTCATTTCATTACCATAATCCTTATGTAAATTTTCCACATTTTGATAATAAATAACGGATTTCTGAATCCTGATTTTAACGAAAGTCAGGCGTGTTATGTTGATGTCTTTTGAATCTGAAACTCTACAGAACTGACAGATTCGCGCTTGTTTATGGTATATGATGAAACCGTCATTGCCTAAAAATAATGTGAAATGTGTTGAATTGTCGATTATGCTTCAATGACACCATTTGCCCGATTGAAGAAGAAAAGTAGGACGTTAAATCATTTTTCATTCATTCTTAAATGGTACGAAACCTTTTGATCTTAGATTTCCAGAAAATTTTTTTTCGAAAGAATGTAAGCACCTGTTTCATCAGAGTCGAACATGAAAGTTTCTTCGTCCAGGGAATAAACCAATGTTGGGATGTACTCGTTCGTGTGGCTGTGACGAAACATCAAACTAAAATTAGTAATAATTCAAATGATTACATCATCCCAATTCAGAGGGTTGGTTCCTTTAAACCGCCACAAGTTTTTCCCATCACTAACCCAATTAGCACATTAGATTACTCAATCCAGTACTTTATTTTGACTTGGAAGCCGGTGTTGGCCGAAAATGTTCATCTGGATTTTACGGCGTGGTTCCCACCTATCAGTGGTTCAGAGTGGAGAGTCTGGCAAGGGACAACGTATAATCGTTCAGATGGGACGTGCACGTAACAGAACCCTTGCGAAATAAGTGTAGGCCGTCTTTATTAGCTCAGTCAGTGCTGAACAGTAGGACGCTTAGCACCATTTCATCTCATTTATTTTGACTTAAATCAAAGATTTAGCTTCCTTTGGTCGTATATAAATCAAACGTCACACCCATTCCTTGGCATCTAAGCCAATCTGTGAATATATTACGCGGATTAAGCTTTTAAGATTAAATTATATCTCTATTTCTTGTTTCAGCTAATATTGGGGCAGCCGTTGCGGGAATACTGTATTTTGGTTTGTATGTTCCCTATTTCTATATCAGCCTGGATTATCCAACAATTAGCCGCAGTCAAAAATTAGCCGCATCTCTTCTATCTAACACAGCCATGTCGATAGGAAGCTATTCTATTGGTTTATACGAAGGAACTGGTAATGTATTATTAACTACACATTTAAGACCTCCGCACACCAAAGACTGATTATAGAACGGCGATGGAAAGTTGATCTTCGGCAAATTATACAGACCCCGACGTTTCCCAGAAATTTGGGGAAAATAGTATTCAGATTTAATTCCTTAGCACCCTGTTCACAGAATACTGATGAGTGTAAATCATGAATTTCCAATCTAATAATGCCACATTAATATGCCACCCTCATAATTTAACGACTTAACGAGTAAATCCAATTGTAATTACATAACAATGTCTAACAATGTTAATCGGGGCTACTGATCTTGCTGTTAGTAGCATTCATACAAATAGCAAAAATTGCAAATGGTCAATTAGCAATTCGATATCTGGAAAATGTTGGAAATTTATCTATTAAAGGCGAAGGTGTCCAGTGGAGTAACATGGGATCACCACCAACACCAGACGATAACTTTTCCATGTCAGACGCCATCTTGATGTTACTAGGTGACAGTGCTATTTACCTAACGATTATGTGGTATGTGGAAAATGTCTATCCCGGAAAACATGGCGTCCCGAAGCCTTTTTATTTTCCATTTATGGTAGGTATAAATACATAATTTAAAGGATCGGGGCATATACAATCAAAAAGGATTCTAACCAAATATTATCGGTTCAAAGTTAAAGGGCTTATAGCTCTATCTCATTATATACATAATATACGACATTAAAAACACGAATTAGAATTTAATATTAGTCCATTTCAATCAATATTGATTTTTTTTATCTTAACGTGGAAATATGGGGCCATGCTATCCACATCTTTCGCCGAATATATTTGATTAGAAATTACAATCAACTTTTAAAAAATGAATCTAAATCAACCCTTTTTATCTATTATAAAGGTGAACTATCTAACATTTAGATAAAATCAGTGGTCGTTCTCGCTATATTAGTTCAAAAATAAATAATGAAAATTTATATATTGATGGCCCTGGGTACCTCGTTTTGCCATATTATCAGCCTCCTCATTTCCTGGAATGCCGCAGTGAGATGAAATCCACTGCATTACGGTTCTGGTGCATTTGGTTGCATAGAGCATCTTCTAACTTTGGTAAGTTGTTGTTGGCTTCCGACAGCACGGACAAGGCGCGTGTAAGTAAGACAACTGGGTTGTCTGTGTCTGCTTTTATATATTGATGGCCCTGGGTACCTCGTTTTGCCATATTATCAGCCTCCTCATTTCCTGGAATGCCGCAATGAGATGAAATCCACTGCATTACGGTTCTGGTGCACTTGGTTGCATAGAGCATCTTCTAACTTTGGTAAGTTGTTGTTGGCTGCCGACAGCAGGACAAGACGCGTGTAAGTAAGACAACTGGGTTCTGCTTTGCGGCTGCTGATGTCTGTAGCATGCACCAGGGCTTCCACTATTGCTTGGTAGTTCGTGGGCCTCCCCGCCTTTGTTCGTCCGGGAAATGTATGTACGCTCCAGCTCCTTTATTCTAGACGGCATCTGTGGCTGACCCATTGTTAAGACCATTATCCACGCTTCCGGGGGGGGGGGGGTAGCTGTCTTCAAGCATGGCTAAAGTCAGGGTTCTTTTGCACTCGTCACTCTGCTCAGCCGTTGTTGTCAGGGGAGGACCTGTTTGACAATGACACCACCATTCTTCTCTTGTCGAGGGGGAGTTGGGGGGAGTTGGGGGGGGGGGGGGGTTGGTCGGACTAGGAGTCTGATCCCTAATGAGTGAAGGCAGCTTTTCGTGGTGTTATCTTTGTAGCTTTCACCTTCTTTTTATTCGTTTTTAGAAAAGTTATTGGTGTGGAAGTACAGGTATCGATTTTAGTAAAACTGGTGGCGCAATAAACAATACAAATCGTTTCGAAAAAGAACCAGTTGGACTAAAAGCTGGAATAAGTATATCGGGTCTCAAAAAGGTAATTCTGTAATTGTTTTTAACTTTTATAAATGAAAAGCACAATCCTTGAGTGAGGAACATGGTGTTGGCAAATGACTGGTGTAGTACACATGGCAGTGTATCAATTTTCTGCATACCACAAAAGACACCACTATGCAGATCTGGTATTCAGATACAGTATAAATAACAAACCAAATATCACCTGAATTGTTTAACTATAGCTGAGAAATAGCCACTAAAACAAATACTGCACTACAAGCCAATGCCAAGTTTTCAAATTTGAATTCTAGATCTATGATTTTTGGTTCACCGGTTGAAAGTTATTTCAATTATATGACATTTATTAAATTTGTATGCGACTTTTAGGAATTTAAAAGTGGGGGTACAAAGAAACTAGCAGTAGACAATATGAATCTGAATGTATACCAAGGGCAGATAACTGTGCTGCTAGGTCACAATGGAGCTGGTAAAACAACAACTATGTCCATGCTAACTGGTAATATCCTTTTCTTTCTTATATACCTAACCACTGGTTATGCTATAAACCTTTAATTTCGCAAGAACTCGGTTGATCTTTTGTATTTGTCTCCAATATCTTTGTCATCGACTTCTATAAACCCTTCCGTTAAATTGTCAGATTCTAAAATTTTGAAAAAGGGTATTTGTAATTTCTGTTTTTCACAGGTTTTATTCCACCGACATCCGGTAAAGCGACGGTCAACGGACATGATATAGGAACTGATATAGATGGTGTTAGAGAAAGTCTGGGGTTATGCCCCCAACATAATATTCTCTTTGATACTCTTACAGTAGATGAACATCTAGAATTCTTCTTATTGGTAAGATTTATATAATCTACCTTTTGATACGCTAACAATTGTGATTTAGTTTTAAAAGCTAACAACTTAATATGATCTTCTATTGTCGTCGTTAGAACTCCATGTAGCCACTCTACAGGTCAGAGCTTATATGTTGTTGGGTTAATTTTATCAAACCTGTTGAACTAATTCAACAAATCAAACACATATAAAATACCAACTATTTCGAAATTTAGAGTAGCTCATCAATTATTGGCAGAGGTATGGGCCATGAAGAATTTTCCAACATAGGATTGACCAATTATGAACATGAACCCCAATGGTTCACGAGATCATGAGTTGCAGAGTTATTAGCCCTGTCATCTAAAGGCTGTAATCGGTCCTCGGGTCGAACTTTGAACGATTTAACCAAAAACTGAAGATATTACTGTACTTGTCTATTCTAGTTAAAGGGAGGTAATCATTCTACAGTAAAGGGAGAGGTAGCTGACATGGCTAAAGAAGTTGGTTTAGAGACAAAAAGGAAAACTCGATCCATGAATCTTTCTGGTGGACAAAAAAGGAAATTATCAGTTGGTATCGCTCTAATAGGTGGCTCGGAGGTAATAAATTAAAATAGCTGCTATCGCCGCATTATCAACAACATCAGACGACACCCCTTTATAGAGGCGTCAAGGAATTGTTAGTCATAAGGAATAGGGTCGCCTGCCGAACTTTGTTTTCTCCAGGTTCTGTAACTTACTTCCAATAATGACATTAATCTCGTCTACGAAGTAATATTATCAACACCCTTATCATTATCATCCAGATCGTTATTGTTAGCTCTCTGACTGAAATGTTTATTTTTTATCTTCTGTGGAAACAGGTTGTCATTTTGGACGAACCGACGTCCGGTATGGATCCAGCAGCTAGGCGGCAAACTTGGGATATTCTGCAGAGATATAGATCTACAAGGACCATTTTGCTTACAACCCATTTTATGGACGAGGCCGATCTTCTTGGAGACCGGATTGCCATCATGGCAGATGGAAATGTTAAGTGTTGTGGCCGATCTCACTTTTTAAAACAGATTTACGGTAAATTATAAATTTCATTCATGATTCCAAATGCAATTCTCTACTAACTACCTTATTATTGTTATTGGAATTCGGGAGATCTTAAAGATATATCAACAATTTGCTTTTATATATGTTTGGGTTGATGATATTTATCGTAGGTAAATACAATACACATTTTATTTTCTAGGAGCTGGTTATCATTTAATTATTGTGAAATCGGAGACATGTAATGTTCCTGTAGTAACAGAGCTTGTTCAGACCCACATCCCATCAGCTACCCTGGAGAGTGAGATCAGTGCTGAGATATCTTACCTATTACCCAATGAAGCTTCTCCCAGCTTCTCTTCTCTGTTTAAAGACATCGAAATAAGGAAAAATGAATTGGGCATAAACAGCTTTGGTACCACGGCTACTACAATGGAGGAAGTTTTTCTTAAGTATGTATGACGCACTTTAAATTATGGTTAAGGGGCACGCTCATCAAAAAGCACCCGCTGTCCAATAGTCATCCATTATCTTTTTCAACTGAGCTAAAAGCATCGAACGATGTTGATTTCTCCACGTTCTAAATATTTTGGAAGCAGTTATTTAGCAAAGCTAAACTTTAGAAACAGTAGATTAAAGGATGAGCTTAATATACAAGTTATCAGATCTAATTAAATATATTTTTGCAATGTTCCAGAGCTGGTGAGGAAGTTAACGCCGATGATGCGACTGACAACAATGGGACTTCTTATCAGAACAAAAGTTTTGAGCGTGATGTATCTCTTCCTGCGACTGCAGTCTACCAGTCCGAAATCGATCTTGCTGACGGTGATATTTTAGGTAAAAGATTTTAAAAGTACTGTAATATCATTTAATCTATATAAATAAAATCAAAGATGTACGTGCGTATGTTCGTCCCAGTGGTATCAAATAACCAGCATGACTCTGTGAATGTACTTGTAGGCCATCGAATTTGGGTCCCGGTCGAATTGGGCATTTATCTATTAATATGTTGTTTATTGAAAGTCATTCGTTTTTATCCTCCTATATTTCAGCGTTTAATAAAGGTTTCAAGAGAGCTGAGGGTTTTCAGTTGGAGTTGTACAGGTTTTATGCTATGTTTATTAAGAAAGCTATCCATACCTGGAGGAACAAAGTAGTTACCATATTTCAGATTCTTCTTCCAGTATTAGCCACGATCATTGCACTGGCCGTCGATAGCAGCTCTCAAGACGAAAAACAAGAACCATCTCTGACTTTTGACTTGAAACCATTTAGTGATTCAATAAGTGCTTATGGAGAGTCGGTTAACTCGACCGAAACAACCGAATTAGCTGATAAATACGGTGGGCTATTTGGAGCAGGGGAGACAGCTGAGCGTCTAACACCACAGCAAGCTCAAAATTTTTCGATATATTTCGTGGACAAAGCTAAAGAACTGAGAACAGCTGTATACAATAACAAGATGGTGATAGGTGCGGATTTTTCTGTTATAAATACCACGATTACGTCAATTAAAGGTTTCTATAACGGTCTACCATACCACGCTCCTCCTATAAGTGTATCATTTATGATGAATGCTTTAGCTAGACAGGTTTTTGGAGACGATACAGTGCGAATCACAACTCGAAATCATCCTTTGCCACCAGATGTCAAAACATATTCCGAAGAAGCGGCTTTCAATTCAAATACTAGCGGTTTTACGGTAGCCTTATGTTTAGTGTTCGGGATGTGCTTTTTAGCTAGTAGTTTATCGGTGTTCCTCATTAAAGAAAGACAAGTTGGCGCAAAACATCTACAGAAAGTCAGCGGCGTTGGAACGCTCGTTTATTGGTTGTCTAATATCACGTGGGATTTTATCAACTACCTGATTCCATGCATACTTATTGTGATAGTGTTTGCTAGTTTTGGGACTGATGGATTTGTATCAGGTTCCAATTTATCGTATGTATTTCTGGTATTGTTGGTCTTTGGATTGGCTGTTATACCATGTGTCTACATGCTACAGTTTCTGTTTAACACGCCTCCTGGTGGAATGGCAGCCATTTTAATTTTGAATGTACTTTCAGGTAAATTTATATTAATCAACGGAATATTTCTAAGTAGCAAAATCACATTTAGTTACTGATTTTCTGTCGTAATTTGAACAGGCAAAAAGTGCCACGAATATAAGCAGAATTTTCCGCAAGTATTGATGACCTTTTTAGAAAGTTGGTAGCAGGATAGGTGTTAACGCGTGCATCTTACATCATATAACCCGTTCCTACCTAATCTTATGGGATATCCGGAATTCCTGCCAAAGCTAACCACACCAGCGCACAAGCAAATTACAAATTATTTAAATAAAAGGTATATTCGACCCGTTCTTAAAAGATATGGACTGGGTTGGTGTTGCATGCTTCTTACACCATATGTTCCATGATTCTATATAACCCAACGGGACACTCCGGTTTACTGCCAACGCTAACGACCCAGGCGTACCAACAATCGACATCACCTGGTTAGTGTCAGTAGGCTAGTAGACGTTAAGTCTCCCTCTCTCTCTCTCTCTCTCTCTCTCTCTCTCATTGATCTGTATTATTTTTGTAGGCTTAATTACAGTGATGGCGGTGTTTATTTTACGAATTCCAAGCCTGAAAACTCAAGACATTGCCGATATATTAGAATATGTTTTCAGTGTGCCGTTCCCACAGTTTAATCTTGGTATAGCGTTCATGAATATTGTGGATAATTATAATAACTTGAAAATATGCGCCAATTCCTCACCATGTGACGGTATCAGGTTTAACCCATGCTGTAAAGGTTAGTGGTATAAATGATTTAACGATTAGTGATATAATAATTTAATTATAGTATAAAGCATGCTATAAAGAATAGTGGTATAATTATAATGAAGGAAATGAAATCGGGTTAAGTGTCCTACTTTTCTGCACCGACTGGGATAATGGATGACATACAGGGTACTATGATTGAAATATTGCCCGGACAGTGGCAATACGCCCTAATCTTATTTCGATTTCCAACTGTTCAGGGTTCTTTTACGTGCATGCCACCCGAAAGATTAGAAATTTCCTTGTCATGCCCCCCGCCCTGCGCCATTCACTGTCAAGTGAACCCACGTGGGAAATTCCCAAATAAGTTTCTTAGCCAACACCGGGAGCGAACTCTAGACCTCTGTGTGAGCGAGCCAGCGTCTTACTTACTGTGTCACCACGACCCCTGATTTAATTATGGTATGCACACCAAGTATTACAAATCACAAATTATTTTGTGTGTAATTCAAAGCTACAAATCGGACAAATTTATTTTCCATCGATGAATTAAAACTGTTGTCAAATACTACAATCGCATTAAAAGTTACATTTTATGCTTACTAAACCCCAAATACCCTTTGTCAATTGTGGAGCTTGAGCTTGATAGTACAATCTGTTCATCGCCGACATTGCCTTTTGGAATTAGTTCTTGCTGGTAGAAAAACTTTGTCATAATGGATATTTTTGTTGGTATGCATGAGAATTAGTTTGTTTTGAGTGATCTAGATTGGGGCCTTACACTATTTCAGGCTAAATTAAAATATATTGAATACATCGAAGCTTGGTCTATCTAAAAGTAATTTAATGACATGTTGGTGCTCCATTGTTTCAGACCCCAAACCAGATCACCCCGAAATAAACAGCCACTGCAGTTTCCGATTATGGGATTATGATCTTAGAATAATAATTAGTAAATTGTGTTACAGATACCTGCGGTGGATTGTGTTATTATTATTCGGATAATTATCTTTCCTTTGATCGCCCTGGTATAGGAAAAAATGTTCTTCTGTTGGTTGTACAATCATTAGTCTTTTTCTTCATCACTTTAACTATTGAGGCGCAACTACCACAGAAGGTCTGGTACAAGGTTCGCCCTAATTCAGATGAAGTTGAACCCTTACAAAGTCAATCCCACACCAATTTGGGTGAACCGCAGACGGACAGTGACGTAGCCAATGAAATTGATCGGATTAAAAATATGGACATGGATCAACCCAAAGATTCCTTTGTATTGAAGAGTCTGTATAAAAGATATGGAAATTTTGTTGCCGTTGACCATATTAGTGTGGGGATACCTGACAGAGAATGTTTCGGTCTTCTTGGACAAAATGGCGCAGGAAAGACAACAACTTTTAAAATGTTAACCGGTGATGTTATGGTTACAAGTGGAAACGCATTTTTGAAATCGAACGATATCAAATCTAGTATTCAAAAGGTATTTTTATTTCTTATAGATGACAGGAACTGTGTAACGATAGCGATTCTGCGCACAATGTATTATTATAATTAAGTGAAAGTATAGATATGGTTACGCATGGAAACGCATTTTTGAAATTGAACGACATCAAATCTAATATTCAAAAGATCTCTTTTTTTTCTTATAAACAGCAGAAACTGTGTAGAGATAGTGATTTTGCGCACAATGGTTTCGTATATTTTAGTGCCAAAGTTTTGCTAAGAAGGTGTGAACTCAAAATTTCAGTTTATCTATGAGAGTTGACCACCTGTACTCCGTCATTTAAATGAAAATGTATCTTTATATTATAGGTACAGGAAAATATGGGGTACTGTCCTCAGTTCGATGCTCTGATAGATCAGATGACCGGAGTTGAAACATTGTATATGTATGGAAGACTGAAAGGGATACCAGGAAACCATCTAAAGGGCGTGGTTAATAGTTTGATTGACATATTGATGTTGAAGGAACATGCCAATAAATTGACTCAAGCTTACAGGTAGGTTATTTAAGAAATTAATCATTAGGATTGCGCCCCATTCCAGTCAAAACTGCGTTCTTGAAGCTAAAACGACTTTTTCCAATTCTAAGCTGAATTCAGTTAATATAACCCTTTTTCGTGTCTTAGTGTGCATTAAAAGTTATGTTGGAATATCTTTGACAAAAGTTTAATATACATTTTATTTGTTTAAAGAAAGTATCTTATATTCAATTATTTAGCGGTGGTAATAAACGTAAACTGAGTACAGCTATAGCCTTAATTGGTGATCCAGGTTTTATTTTACTGGACGAACCATCAAGCGGTGTTGATCCCAAGGCCAGACGTCAACTGTGGACTGTTTTATCTAAAGTCAGGGATAGTGGAAAAACACTGATACTTACTTCACACAGGTAATATTCAACTTTATTATCCCGCGCCGAACGAAGTTAGGGAGGGATATTGAAATGGGGTTCGTCCGTCCGTCCGATTTCGTTTCCGGAGCATATCTCATAAACCGTTGAAGATATCTTTCTGAAACTTTGCACACACATCAACCTATTACAGTAGTTGTGCCTTTTGCCATTTAGGAATTTCTGGGATTTATATTTTTTTGTGTTTCCATGGAAACAAAAATGACTTAGTTTTTGGTGTACAATTTTGTTTCCGAAGCATATCTCATAAACCGTTCAAGATATCTTTCTGAAACTTTGCGCACACATCAACCTATTACAGTAGTTGTGCCTTTTGCTATTTAGGAATTTCTGGGATTTATATTTTTTGTGTTTTCATGGAAACAAATTTGACTTAGTTTTTGGTGTTCAATTTTGTTTCAGGAGCATATCTCATAAACCGTTCAAGATATCTTTCTGAAACTTTGCACACACATCAACCAATTACAGTAGTTGTGCCTTTTGCTATTTAGGAATTTCTGAGATTTATATTTTTTGTGTTTCCATGGAAACAAATTTTACTTAGTTTTTGGTGTATAATTTTGTTTCCGGAGCATATCTCATAAACCGTTCAAGATATCTTTCTGAAACTTTGCACACACATCAACCTATTACAGTAGTTGTGCCTTTTGCCATTTAGGAATTTCTGGGATTGATATTTTGTGTGTTTCCATGGAAACAAAAATGACTTAGTTTTTGGTGTACAATTTGGTTTCCGGAGCATATCTCATAAACCGTTCAAGATATCTTTCTGAAACTTTGCACACACATCAACCTATTACAGTAGTTGTGCCTTTTGCTATTTAGGAATTACTGGGATTTATATTTTTTTGTGTTTCCATGGAAACACATTTGACTTAGTTTTTGGTGTACAATTTTGTTTCCGGAGCATATCTCATAAACCGTTCAAGATATCTTTCTGAAACTTTGCACACACATCAACCCGTTACAGAAGTTGTGCCTTTTGCTATTTAGGAATTTCTGGGATTGATATTTTGTGTGTTTCCATGGAAACAAATTTTACTTAGTTTTTGGTGTACAGTTTTGTTTCCGGAGCATATCTCATAAATCGTTCAAGATATCTTCATGGCACTTATTTTGAATTTCTCAGATTTGATAATTTTATGTGTTTCCATGGAAACACATTTGACTGTTCAAGATACCTTTAAAATAATTTTACCCATTATTTTATTTTCTGAAATCCAGCCTTCCATCCTGATTTTGTTTCTGGAGCATATTTTATTATCTGTTCAAGAAATCTTTTTGAAACTTTGTACAAACATTAACCTATTATAGTATTTTATTTTCTGATGTATAAGTTTATTGTTTAACATACAGCAGCTAATTGAGGTAGGCAAAAGTTGTTGTGCAAACCTTACAGGGAGTAGCGACCCTGCCTTGCCGAGCTACTGTGATCAGAGTATGAAATTCTGTGAATTGATATTCCATGTGTCGGAATATGGGATTTGTCTAAAGCTCCAGTTCCCTCCACTTGCAAAATAGCTCTATTTTCTATGTAGTCATGTCTAATTTTTAAAACCAGAGCTTAATGTCATAAATTATCTCAAATCTTCTAGTAAATATCAATCAGTCATTTGTTTTCAGAAATAGAGAGCAATATCTACTAAACAGGGCCACAATATTAGGACCAGTGACACTGTTTGCGAAATCTGATACATTTTTATATTGATTACCAATAGCATAAACAAGTTATTTTTCCTTATTTCTTCCAAACAAGTGCAAGGGCGCGGGATGTTGATGACTAGTCATCTTGTTTCCTATTTATTTGAGTTGGACTTTTGCTTAAATGAAAGCTGTATACGGCATTTCGGAGATAGGAATTTTCCTTATGTAATTCGAATATATTTCTCGGTGGTAGACATTCCTTCTCTTTTTCTCATTTAGAAGTCGTTTTAGAATTGATTTTAAATGAACATATTAAACGGCATTTCGGAGATGGGAATTGCCCTTGAATAATTCGTTTATTTCTCGGTGGTAGACTTTCCTTCCTTCAATTTTTCTCATTCATAAGTCGCACATCCCTTAAAATAAGTTTTAGAATTGATTTTTAATGAACATATTAAATGAATACAGTTTTAGTTTTATTTAATCGATATAAACATCATATTTATTCACTTAATGAATACCCTTATACTTTTAATTTAACGAACAAATCTTTCTAATACAATCTAATTTCTTCAATCCCTTTCATGTCGTTTTAGACAATTATAATAAAGGTTACCATCGCTACGTTGCTTTTCCTGTAAAGAATTGTACTAGTGGCTGCTTCTCTACCGAGGATATGTTGCTACCCACCCATTTAATTACAACATTCATTTCCTGTCGTTTTTATTATACAGTATGGAAGAATGTGATGCCCTGTGTACAAGGGTAGCCATTATGGTTAATGGAAGATTTAAGTGTTTAGGAAGTCCACAACATTTAAAGAATAAATTTGGCCAGGGCTACACATTGATCTGTAGAATGAAAACAAATGAGGAGGATGGAGTGACGTCACCAATTGAACCACTCGTACAATTTATCAAACAAAATTTTCCATCGGCCATTGTGTTTGATGATCACCAAGGTTACGCGCATTTCCAGATCCCAGATAACAACATACCTTTAGCGGGTGTATTTGATGTGATGGAGGAATCGAAAGGGGAATATTTAGTAGAAGATTATGCTGTTCATCAGACAACTTTAGAACAAGTCTTTCTGGCTTTTGCTGGGAAACAAATTCCACCACGTGAAGATAAAACTACTTGCTTTAAACGCATCTGTTGTTGTTAGGAACGGCTTTGTTCTGCTTTTGTTATTAATAATGATTATTATTGATAGATAATTTATTAATATAGAACTTATTTTTCTTTCTTTTTGTAAATCTATTAGATAGTGGTACAAAAATATCATTTCTCTGATATTTTTAAATCCTTTGCAAACTACAAAACTATTAATAAAAAGGTGAAGAATGTCTGGTCAATGTTAATCCAAATTTGATATTAAACATCTCAAGTTTAGACATATGATAAGTACAAATTACAAATTTGTGTTAATATAGCCCCTCCATAATTTTCAATCAACTTTCTCCTCTTTTGCAACATTAAACAATTGGGGGTAAAAATTAAAATTCCTTGACATAAAATTCTTGATCATATACATGTACTACGTAGTTGGCTTACTTCCCTTCTCACGCCTTTTACTCGTTTTAAAAGCACGTTAATTACAACTAACAAGACGTCACGAACGTTCCAGCCAGCGCTACCTATACATTTTTGATGTAGTCTAACTTTAGATGGCCCCCTCTTAAATCAGATTGAATCCAAGCCTTGAGAAGTCGGTTCTAATTTCTTACTTGATTAAAATATTCAATCGGAATAACTTATAGTGTGGAAAGTCAGATATTGTCCGGAAAAAATGCATCATTAGGATCGACGACCATAATGTACGACTTTAATTTCAAAATATTCCACATTACATATCATGGTTTGAAGCCATCTGTAAGTTTGTTTGTGTTAATGCTTTGTCATAGTTTTTGCCCATTTTTATCTAATAATAATTTTCAATGTATGTCAAACATTAGATATTTTGCTTCGATGAGATGAACCAAAGATGTATAATTTTATATTGTGTTATATTTGTTAAATATTCTATATTAGATTGTACACACTTTTTAACCTACCGAGATATAAAACCACATAGACATTTTATTATCATTTACCGCATATAGCGGCTACAATAATTCATATATTTTTTTAGACATTGACATGGGTTGTTTATCCAATTGAAATATCAACTGCGAAGTTATATCCCTTTGTTATGAAATCGTGTTATAACGTTACAATAATATACAGTACTACATTTTTAAATCTATCCTTCTGAAATTTGTATTGGTTATCCGTCCAGTTAAAAGAAAGAAGCGTGTTCAATAATAACTCATAGAAGTATTGTCCTTTGTTACGAGTTCTTGTTAGCTACTGCGGGGCTTTAATAATGAGCAGAACTATTTGGAAATTTGATTTCTTTAGCCAATAACTTACGTTGTCTTTTAGATACACGGGCCATTTATTTTAAGCACGGGTTTACAAGTACATTATACACTGAAAAAAAACTTGTGTTGTTTTCAACACAAGTTAGGTGTCTCTATTTAACAACACAAACATGTGTTGAAACAACACAAACTTGTGTTAAATGTTGAAACAACACAAGACTTGTGTTAAAATTTACCAAACAACACAAACTTGTGTTGAAACTTGTGTGAAAATCTACACAATACTTGTGTCGAAACTTGTGTTGAAATTTCTGAAACTTGTGTTGAAATTTCTGAAACTTGTGTTGAAATTTCTGAAACTTGTGTTGAAATTTCTGAAACTTGTGTGGTTTCATAAAAACTTGTGTATAACCACCAACAAAAACTTGTGTTTTATTTTCCCTCAATTTAGCAATCTTTCCCATGCAGCCCCCCACCCCTTTTGCTCTGTTTAACCTGTAAAGTTTGATAAATGAGGTAACAATAATTTTATTTGTTAAATTATCATTTATAGGAAAAAGTAAATTAACACCACCAAATCAAAACTAAATAGACATCATTTGAAATGTTAACAGAAAAACAGAGATATAATTCTAATACTAATAAAAATTTTGTTATACTTTGCCCCCCTCCCCCCCCACATCACAAAATACAAAATAGCTATTTAATTTTTTCTTTACCCGAAAACAAGAACTGAGAAAAGAAAGATCCCTACCCCATACCCCAAAAATATATAATTCAAATATATCTAAATTTAATAACATCCAAACCAAGCCCTAATTAGATTAATTATGCACTAAATTGAAATACTTTCAGAAACTGAAAAGTGCTACAAAGTCATATTACAAGTGATTTGTGAGGCATCTAGAAATAACTAGCATACACAGAAAACTAACAAAAGAAAAATGCACTATTTTGCAGGAGTAATAAAATGATGTAGAACCTTTTCCTCAAACAAAATGAATATTTTGTACATAAAAGGAGCAAAGCATCAAGATTACAGGATTGAAAAATAAAAAAATATCAGAGAAAATCGCAAACATTAAATAATATGTACAAAATATATATAAATAATCACAAGTCAAAAGCAAGGAGGAGCCACTGTGGTTCAGTGGGTGCATTGGCCGAGAAATTTCAACTGGATTTTCCGACATAGTTCCCACACGTCAGTAGTGTAGGACATGGCAAGGGATAATTGGGTATAAGCCCAGAATTGAAACTACCCCCACTGCGTTTACTTTAAAGAACCCTTGACAATTGAATTATCTGACTCAATGACAGACCCTTCTGATCCAATGTGCGTGTGTTAACCATTCGGCCCTCCTGGGTTCCCTTTAAACAACCCTTGACAGTTGAAATATTTGATATAAGAGTAGGTTGTAGGGCAGAATCACCATAATAACACAGAAAAGTAGGATATTAAACCCTATTTCATTTCATAAGCAAGGGAAAGTCACCTTAATGTAGGTCAAGGTTTTTTGTAATTCTGGGTATATTTGATCTAAAATTTGGTTTCTAGACTATGCCTATTAAATACTTTATGATTTCCGACCAAATTCTAAGTGATTTATATGTCACTTTACATTCTATATTATACATAAATTTCTGTAGAGAATTAAAATCTAATTGTGTTTGGGATGAATATTTAACAGTAAAAACAAAAAAAAATATTCAAAAATTGGGTCAAATGCATTCTTTTTCAGAATTATAAAATAAATTGATGCTTGGGATCTCTTGTTGTTATCATACATCAAATAATCTTCCAGCCTAAAAAATAAAAAGTAGGCAATAAGAATACTTTCTTACTATTTATGGTTCACAATGTTTAAATAAACAATTTATTTTGCCACATCGAGACTGAGTCTCTATTTTGTTTCATCTTTGGGTAACACTTATTGTGTCTTGTCCAGTAACAGACCCAGGCAGATTATTATATTTTATTTCCATCGACAACAAATTGGATATTACCTATTAAAATCTATTTGAAAAGTAAAATATTGTCCATTTTTATACTGCTATTTACTGTAAAAATACACATAGGGTCTATCACAACTTGAAGAAAATCAAGAATGCCAAGACTTGAATAGGAGAGTCCAAGGCATTGCCCCAAGAAGAATAACTAGATTACCAATCAAGTGTATAGAACTAGTTGATGATTAAAAATACAAATATGTATGTTACTTACATTTTACCTGATTATCAAGCTCTGTGAGAAAAAGTTTCCATAATATGAATAGCCATTTCCAACTGTCTTGATCTTTCTGATGTAGTTAACTGAGAAAAAAAACATACTATGTTTTAGTTGACTTAAATCGATTCAATATTTAAATAGACAAAAGTTTTAATTTAATTAAATTGTATTGTAATGTGTTGGTTTGCTTTGTCACAGATGAGACAAAATGAAAAAAATGAAATGAAATGGGGTTTGGCGTCCTACTGTTCAGCTTCGACTGGGCTAATGAGGTTGGGCACATGCCATACAGTGTGCCACGAGAGAAATTTTGCCGGGTACCGTGACCCTAAGGCCTACTCTTGTATCAAATTCTAACTGCCAGGGGCTCTTTTACATGCACGCCAATGTGTACACGGGACCACGTTTTTTTTGTTCAATCTGAACGACTAGACAGCTGTCCTTGTAAGGCCTCCCGCACTGCATCGTCTTACTGCAAACCCGCGACCTTAAAATATGCAAACCAGTGTCTAACCCACTTGGTCACCATGGCTCCCCACAGATGAGATAGTCATGTCTACATGTATCTGGACATAAGTAAGATTCTGTCTGTGCACATACATGTACGTGTACAGTTTTACTATACTAAACTGAATTTTAAATTTCAAAATATTAAAATGAAATCGAGGTTTAAGTCACATCAGCTCCAACCGGGCTATATTGTGCCAAACACATTATGGTGAGATTCTAAAATACCACAACAACAATCTTTTTATTAGAATTGAACACTCACCCTCCAAAAACACCTATGAGAAATCATAGGTGCTCAAATCACCATTTCTTCAGCTCTTTCTTTTCCCATATTTGGGTTTATTTTATTATATGATCTTTGATTTGCTATGGCATCTAATATGGAAACTGAAAAATATGAATATGTGACATGTAATTAACTGTTTAAGATACCTTACCATATACAAACTGTGTGATATCTAAAACCATTTTAATCCCGAAGATCTTACCTGAACCGTGAAAATCTGTTTTAATAACCCTTGTTTGTCATGTGACTGGAGAGTCACAGTAATTAAAAGAGAGCCATGTGGCTTAGTGTGTAAGGCACTGGCTTGCTACCCGGGAGGTTGCGGGTTCGCTCCCAGTGTTGACCGAGAAAGCTCATTTGGATTTTTCAGCATGGATTCCCTGTCTAGTCGTCATGGTGGCTAAGTGGGTAAGACGCTGGCTCGCTAGCCTGGAGGTCGGGTGTTCGATCCCTGCATTGGCCGAGAAAGTTCACCCAGATTTTCCGGCGTGGTTTCCTCTTGTTAGTGATGCAGGACGGAGGGCCTGACAAGGACAGCTGTCTAGTCATTTAGATTGAACAAAAAAACGTGGTCCCGTGTACACATTGGTGTGCATGTAAAAGATCCCCTGGCAGTTAGAATTTGATACAAGAGAAGGCCTTAAGGTCACGGTACCCTGCAAAATTTCTCTCGTAGCACACTGTATGGCATATGCCCAACTTCATTAGCCCAGTCCTCCGTACTGCAATGTCTTACTGCAAACCCGCGACCTTAAAATATGCGAGCCAGTGTCTAACCCACTTGGCCACCGTGGTCCCCCACAGATGAGACAGTCATATCTACATGTATCTGGACATAAGTAAGATTCTGTTTGTGCACATACATGTATGTGTACAAATTTACTATACTAAACTGAATTTTAAATTTCAAAACAATAAAATGAAATGGAGGTTTATGTCACATCAGCTCCAACCGGGATATTTGAATCCCAAAGATCTTACCCAAGCCTTGAAAATCTGTTTTAATAACCCTTGTTTGTCATGTGACTGGACTGTCACAGTAATTGGAAGAGAGTCGTGTGGTTTAGTGTGTAAGGCACTGGCTTGGTACCCGGGAGGTTGCGGGTTCGCTCCCAGTGTTGACCGAGAAAGCTCATTTGAATTTTTCAGCATGGATTCCATGCCTAGTCGTCATGGTGGCTAAGTGGGTAAGACGCTGGCTCGCTAGCCTGGAGGTCGGGTGTTCGATCCCTGCATTGGCCGAGAAAGTTCACCCAGATTTCCCGGCGTGGTTCCCCCTTGTCAGTGATGCAGGACGGAGGGCCTGACAAGGACAGCTGTCTAGTCATTCGGATGAAATGAAAAAACGAGGTCCCGTGTACACGTTGGCGTGCACGTAAAAGATCCCTTGACAGTTGGAATTCGATACACCGCAGTGCCGCTGTCCGGGCAAAATTTCCCTCATAGCACACTGTGTGGTGTATGCCTGTCTTCATTAGCCCAGTTCGGAGCAAAACAGTAGGACGTTAAACCCCATTTCATTTCATTTCTAGTCGTTTCAATGGAACACAAAACCTGAGTTCCCATTGGCGTGCATTTAAGCCGATAGTATGGTAGTTGGAATTTGTTGGCTGTAGCACCCGTGTCACAGTTCGACTGCTAGTTTGCGATACCCACTCGATATGAATGAGCGGTGATTGGCTAATGAATTCTAAAATCAGACGAATGCTTCGGCGAAGCGGACACACCACTCAAATACAATTCGGCCAAATAACAACATACCTTTAGCGGGTGTATTTGATGTGATGGAGGAATCGAAAGGGGAATATTTAGTAGAAGATTATGCTGTTCATCAGACAACTTTAGAACAAGTCTTTCTGGCTTTTGCTGGGAAACAAATTCCACCACGTGAAGATAAAACTACTTGCTTTAAACGCATCTGTTGTTGTTAGGAACGGCTTTGTTCTGCTTTTGTTATTAATAATGATTATTATTGATAGATAATTTATTAATATAGAACTTATTTTTCTTTCTTTTTGTAAATCTATTAGATAGTGATACAAAAATATCATTTCTCTGATATTTTTAAATCCTTTGCAAACTACAAAACTATTAATAACGAGAGCATCGCTACCGCTGCAATATACGTCCACATTCATACTTTGATAAATATGAAGAGAATGAAGTATGAAATGGCTGCAACGACTGTAATATGACAAGAGGCAAAGAAGGCTAGGCGTTGGGTATGTTTTGCCAAATTTACAGACTAAATATAAACAAAAAATAGGTGCCACATCACCCCTGGGGTTTGGGCACCACATCGCCCCTGGGGTTTGGGCATGCACGAAAATGAATAGTTGCTATCCATACAGTAAAATGAATAAATATGCGAAGTTTCAAAATGATCCATTCAGAATTCCCGCCTGTAGACAACAAACACAAAAATTGGCCGTGGTTCTGCCCCTGGCTGTTGGACATGGATCAATATGAATAGGTACAACCCTATGATGGATCATGCCGAATTGGATCAAAGTCTGTTAATATATTGCAACCTTTAGAGTATTTACAGACAAAATATTAACAAAAACTGCCAAAGATGGTCGGATCATGCACCAAAATCAATAGTTGCCGTCCATAGGCTATAAGGAATACGTATGCCAAATTCCAAGATAACATACCTATAAGTTCAAGGGATATTCCTGATTTGACAATGAACCTCCCAAATTTGATTACTGCCATAGAAATATTGTTTTATTTGGATTTTAGAACACATAGTAGGTTATGACTTCAGGTCTATCGAAAGTTTTACGAAATATATGAACTAAAATTTACAAATTAATGATTTTATTTGATCAGAAATATTAAACTAAATTAAACTACTGACACCCGATAATAGATTAGAATATTAGTAAAAAATTATTAATAATAAATTTGGTACTAAATTATAATAACGAATGACACCCAAACATAAGACTTTTTAAAAATGTACATCCTGAAAACGCACATGTACTTGCAGTTACATGAATTTATAATTTATTTAGTGTGAGAGAGAGAGAGAGAGAGAGAGAGAGACATTGTCATTGCAGTACCAAAAGGTCTTTAGCAGTGGGAGGAAAGGGGGAGAAAACGGTGGTTTGAAACGTCAACAAATAACCGGTATAAATACTTCTAACACTTACAAAGCGTTCTGAAAAATAAGTTGAACAAAGGCTCTCAGAAACCACTCACAAAAACCCGAATGTTACATGGGTGACAACTATTTAAAGCATATCACGTCAGTTTGACATTGTTAAATGGAGTTTGACATTGTTAAATGGAGTTATCTCCCCAAAATCGGGCATGCACCCAAAAGAAAAGGGACCAACCTCAGGGTATAAGGAATATGTATTTTAAGTTTCAAGATGATCGATTTAGAATTGTGGCCTGTAGGCGACACACAAAAAGAAAATTGGCATGGCTCTGCCCCTGGGGGTTGGGCATGTAGGGCCTACTCCAAATGATAAGGATGTTCCAAATGATAGGAATGTTCCTTAGGGTACAAAGAATAAGTATATAAAGTGTGGCTCTGCCCCTGGGGGTTGGGCATGTACCCCAAACGATAGGGATGTTCCTTAGGGTACAAAGAATGTGTATGCAAGATTATAAGTTAAGAAATGTGGCCTGTAGACGACAAACAAACAAATACTAGAAATGGGCGTGGCTCTGCCCCTGGGGGTCGGGCATGCACCAAAAACAATAGGGATCTTCCTTGGGGTATAAGGAATAAGTATACCAAGTTTGAAGAAAATCCAGTAAGAATTGCGCCCTGTAGGCGACACAAAGACACACGAAAAGAAAATGGGAAATGGGCGTGGCTCTGCCCCTGGGGGTTGGGCATGTACCCCAAACGATAGGGATGTTCCTTAGGGTACAAAGAATGTGTATGCAAGATTATAAGTTAAGAAATGTGGCCTGTAGACGACAAACAAACAAATACTAGAAATGGGCGTGGCTCTGCCCCTGGGGGTCGGGCATGCACCAAAAACAATAGGGATCTTCCTTGGGGTATAAGGAATAAGTATACCAAGTTTGAAGAAAATCCAGTAAGAATTGCGCCCTGTAGGCGACACAAAGACACACGAAAAGAAAATGGGCGTGGCTCTGCCCCTGGGGGTTGGGCATGCACCCCAAACGATAGGGATGTTCCTTAGGGTACAAAGAATGTGTATGCAAAGTTTCAAGATTATTAGTTAAGAAATGTGGCCTGTAGACGACAAACAAACAAATACTAGAAATGGGCGTGGCTCTGCCCCGGGGGGTCGGGCATGCACCAAAAACAATAGGGATCTTCCTTGGGGTATAAGGAATAAGTATACCAAGTTTGAAGAAAATCCATGAAGAATTGCGCCCTGTAGGCGAACCACAGACACACACACACACACACACACACACACACACACACATACATACATACACACACACACACACACACACAGACAGGGGCGACGGCATAATACGTTCACATTATGAATGTGGACGTATAAAAAGGTGAAGAATGTCTGGTCAATGTTAATCCAAATTTGATATTAAACATCTCAAGTTTAGACATATGATAAGTACAAATTACAAATTTGTGTTAATATAGCCCCTCCATAATTTTCAATCAACTTTCTCCTCTTTTGCAACATTAAACAATTGGGGGTAAAAATTAAAATTCCTTGACATAAAATTCTTGATCATATACATGTACTACGTAGTTGGCTTACTTCCCTTCTCACGCCTTTTACTCGTTTTAAAAGCACGTTAATTACAACTAACAAGACGTCACGAACGTTCCAGCCAGCGCTACCTATACATTTTTGATGTAGTCTAACTTTAGATGGCCCCCTCTTAAATCAGATTGAATCCAAGCCTTGAGAAGTCGGTTCTAATTTCTTACTTGATTAAAATAATCAATCGGAATAACTTATAGTGTGGAAAGTCAGATATTGTCCGGAAAAAATGCATCATTAGGATCGACGACCATAATGTACGACTTTAATTTCAAAATATTCCACATTACATATCATGGTTTGCAGCCATCTGTAAGTTTGTTTGTGTTAATGCTTTGTCATAGTTTTTGCCCATTTTTATCTAATAATAATATTCAATGTATGTCAAACATTAGATATTTTGCTTCGATGAGATGAACCAAAGATGTATAATTTTAAATTGTGTTATATTTGTTAAATATTCTATATTAGATTGTACACACTTTTTAACCTACCGAGATATAAAACCACATAGACATTTTATTATCATTTACTGCATATAGCGGCTACAATAATTCATATATTTTTTTAGACATTGACATGGGTTGTTTATCCAATTGAAATATCAACTGCGAAGTTATATCCCTTTGTTATGAAATCGTGTTATAACGTTACAATAATATACAGTACTACATTTTTTAATCTATCCTTCTGAAATTTGTATTGGTTATCCGTCCAGTTAAAAGAAAGAAGCGTGTTCAATAATAACTCATAGAAGTATTGTCCTTTGTTACGAGTTCTTGTTAGCTACTGCGGGGCTTTAATAATGAGCAGAACTATTTGGAAATTTGATTTCTTTAGCCAATAACTTACGTTGTCTTTTAGATACACGGGCCATTTATTTTAAGCACGGGTTTACAAGTACATTATACACTGAAAAAAAACTTGTGTTAGGTGTCTCTATTTAACAACACAAACTTGTGTTGAAACAACACAAACTTGTGTTAAATGTTGAAACAACACAAGACTTGTGTTAAAATTTACCAAACAACACAAACTTGTGTTGAAACTTGTGTGAAAATCTACACAATACTTGTGTCGAAACTTGTGTTGAAATTTCTGAAACTTGTGTTGAAATTTCTGAAACTTGTGTTGAAATTTCTGAAACTTGTGTGGTTTCATAAAAACTTGTGTATAACCACCAACAAAAACTTGTGTTTTATTTTCCCTCAATTTAGCAATCTTTCCCATGCAGCCCCCCACCCCTTTTGCTCTGTTTAACCTGTAAAGTTTGATAAATGAGGTAACAATAATTTTATTTGTTAAATTATCATTTATTCATAAAATGATAGGAAAAAGTAAATTAACACCACCAAATCAAAACTAAATAGACATCATTTGAAATGTTAACAGAAAAACAGAGATATAATTCTAATACTAATAAAAATTTTGTTATACTTTGCCCCCCTCCCCCCCACATCACAAAATACAAAATAGCTATTTAATTTTTTCTTTACCCGAAAACAAGAACTGAGAAAAGAAAGATCCCTACCCCATACCCCAAAAATATATAATTCAAATATATCTAAATTTAATAACATCCAAACCAAGCCCTAATTTGATTAATTATGCACTAAATTGAAATACTTTCAGAAACTGAAAAGTGCTACAAAGTCATATTACAAGTGATTTGTGAGGCATCTAGAAATAACTAGCATACACAGAAAACTAACAAAAGAAAAATGCACTATTTTGCAGGAGTAATAAAATGATGTAGAACCTTTTCCTCAAACAAAATGAATATTTTGTACATAAAAGGAGCAAAGCATCAAGATTACAGGATTGAAAAATAAAAAAATATCAGAGAAAATCGCAAACATTAAATAATATGTACAAAATATATATAAATAATCACAAGTCAAAAGCAAGGAGGAGCCACTGTGGTTCAGTGGGTGCATTGGCCGAGAAAATCGCAAACATTAAATAATATGTACAAAATATATATAAATAATCACAAGTCAAAAGCAAGGAGGAGCCACTGTGGTTCAGTGGGTGCATTGGCCGAGAAATTTCAACTGGATTTCCGACCAAATTCTAAGTGATTTATATGTCACTTTACATTCTATATTATACATAAATTTCTGTAGAGAATTAAAATCTAATTGTGTTTGGGATGAATATTTAACAGTAAAAACAAAAAAAAATATTCAAAAATTGGGTCAAATGCATTCTTTTCCAGAATTATAAAATAAATTGATGCTTGGGATCTCTTGTTGTTATCATACATCAAATAATCTTCCAGCCTAAAAAATAAAAAGTAGGCAATAAGAACACTTTCTTACTATTTATGGTTCACAATGTTTAAATAAACAATTTATTTTGCCACATCGAGACTGAGTCTCTATTTTGTTTCATCTTTGGGTAACACTTATTGTGTCTTGTCCAGTAACAGACCCAGGCAGATTATTATATTTTATTTCCATCGACAACAAATTGGATATTACCTATTAAAATCTATTTGAAAAGTAAAATATTGTCCATTTTTATACTGCTATTTACTGTAAAAATACACATAGGGTCTATCACAACTTGAAGAAAATCAAGAATGCCAAGACTTGAATAGGAGAGTCCTAGGCATTGCCCCAAGAAGAATAACTAGATTACCAATCAAGTGTATAGAACTAGTTGATGATTAAAAATACAAATATGTATGTTACTTACATTTTACCTGATTATCAAGCTCTGTGAGAAAAAGTTTCCATAATATGAATATCCATTTCCAACTGTCTTGATCTTTCTGATGTAGTTAATTGAGAAAAAAAACATACTATGTTTTAGTTGACTTAAATCGATTCAATATTTAAATAGACGAAAGTTTTAATTTAATTAAATTGTATTGTAATGTGTTGGTTTGCTTTGTCACAGATGAGACAAAATGAAAAAAATGAAATGAAATGGGGTTTGGCGTCCTACTGTTCAGCTTCGACTGGGCTAATGAGGTTGGGCACATGCCATACAGTGTGCCACGAGAGAAATTTTGCCGGGAACCGTGACCCTAAGGCCTACTCTTGTATCAAATTCTAACTGCCAGGGGCTCTTTTACATGCACGCCAATGTGTACACGGGACCACGTTTTTTTGTTCAATCTGAACGACTAGACAGCTGTCCTTGTAAGGCCCCCCGTACTGCATCGTCTTACTGCAAACCCGCGACCTTAAAATATGCAAACCAGTGTCTAACCCACTTGGTCACCATGGGTCCTCACAGATGAGATAGTCATGTCTACATGTATCTGGACATAAGTAAGATTCTGTCTGTGCACATACATGTACGTGTACAGTTTTACTATACTAAACTGAATTTTAAATTTCAAAATATTAAAATGAAATCGAGGTTTATGTCACATCAGCTCCAACCGGGCTATATTGTGCCAAACACATTATGGTGAGATTCTAAAATACCACAACAACAATCTTTTCTATTAGAATTGAACACTCACCCTCCAAAAACACCTATGAGAAATCATAGGTGCTCAAATCACCATTTCTTCAGCTCTTTCTTTTCCCATATTTGGGTTTTTTGACTTATTTTATTATATGATCTTTGATTTGCTATGGCATCTAATATGGAAACTGAAAAATATGAATATGTGACATGTAATTAACTGTTTAAGATACCTTACCATATACAAACTGTGTGATATCTAAAACCATTTTAATCCCGAAGATCTTACCTGAACCGTGAAAATCTGTTTTAATAACCCTTGTTTGTCATGTGACTGGAGAGTCACAGTAATTAAAAGAGAGCCATGTGGCTTAGTGTGTAAGGCACTGGCTTGCTACCCGGGAGGTTGCGGGTTCGCTCCCAGTGTTTACCGAGAAAGCTCATTTGGATTTTTCAGCATGGATTCCCTGTCTAGTCGTCATGGTGGCTAAGTGGGTAAGACGCTGGCTCGCTAGTCTGGAGGTCGGGTGTTCGATCCCTGCATTGGCCGAGAAAGTTCACCCAGATTTTCCGGCGTGGTTTCCTCTTGTTAGTGATGCAGGACGGAGGGCCTGACAAGGACAGCTGTCTAGTCATTCAGATTGAACAAAAAAACGTGGTCCCGTGTACACATTGGTGTGCATGTAAAAGATCCCCTGGCAGTTAGAATTTGATACAAGAGAAGGCCTTAAGGTCACGGTACCCTGCAAAATTTCTCTCGTAGCACACTGTATGGCATATGCCCAACTTCATTAGCCCAGTCCTCCGTACTGCAATGTCTTACTGCAAACCCGCGACCTTAAAATATGCGAGCCAGTGTCTAACCCACTTGGCCACCGTGGTCCCCCACAGATGAGACAGTCATATCTACATGTATCTGGACATAAGTAAGATTCTGTTTGTGCACATACATGTATGTGTACAAATTTACTATACTAAACTGAATTTTAAATTTCAAAACAATAAAATGAAATGGAGGTTTATGTCACATCAGCTCCAACCGGGATATATTGTGCCAAACACATTATGGTGAGATTCTAAAATACCATAACAACAATCTTTTCTATTAGAATTGAACACTCACCCTCCATAAACACTTATGAGAAAGCATAGGTGCTCAAATCACCATTTCTTCAGCTCTTTCTTTTTCCATATTTGGGTTTTTTGACTTATTTTATTATATGATCTTTGATTTGCTATGGCATCTAATATGGAAACTGAAAAATATGAATATGTGACATGTAATAAACTGTTTAAGATACCTTACCATATACAAACTGTGTGATATCTAAAACCATTTGAATCCCAAAGATCTTACCCAAGCCTTGAAAATCTGTTTTAATAACCCTTGTTTGTCATGTGACTGGACTGTCACAGTAATTAGAAGAGAGTCATGTGGTTTAGTGTGTAAGGCACTGGCTTGGTACCCGGGAGGTTGCGGGTTCGCTCCCAGTGTTGACCGAGAAAGCTCATTTGAATTTTTCAGCATGGATTCCATGCCTAGTCGTCATGGTGGCTAAGTGGGTAAGACGCTGGCTCGCTAGCCTGGAGGTCGGGTGTTCGATCCCTGCATTGGCCGAGAAAGTTCACCCAGATTTCCCGGCGTGGTTCCCCCTTGTCAGTGATGCAGGACGGAGGGCCTGACAAGGACAGCTGTCTAGTCATTCGGATGAAATGAAAAAACGAGGTCCCGTGTACACGTTGGCGTGCACGTAAAAGATCCCTTGACAGTTGGAATTCGATACACCGCAGTGCCGCTGTCCGGGCAAAATTTCCCTCATAGCACACTGTGTGGTGTATGCCTGTCTTCATTAGCCCAGTTCGGAGCAAAACAGTAGGACGTTAAACCCCATTTCATTTCATTTCTAGTCGTTTCAATGGAACACAAAACCTGAGGTCCCATTGGCGTGCATTTAAGCCGATAGTATGGTAGTTGGAATTTGTTGGCTGTAGCACCCGTGTCACAGTTCGACTGCTAGTTTGCGATACCCACTCGATATGAATGAGCGGTGATTGGCTAATGAATTCTAAAATCAGACGAATGCTTCGGCGAAGCGGACACACCACTCAAATACAATTCGGCCAAATATATCAAACATGTTTGATTGGGGCGTATGTCAGTGGATAAACTAGGTGAAGTTTAGCGCCAATTGATTCAGCCAAATCCTTTGGCTAGTTTATCCAGCACTGACGATTTAAGTTTGTACTTTCTTTATATGCAAATATCACATTTGAAAGAGGCTGTCAGCCTACTTTCTTTATATGCAAATATCTTATTTGAAATAGGCCATTATTATGTGATTCCCCACTTGAATGTGACTAGGAATAGGGTCGCCTGTCCAGCCTTGTGGGTTTTCTCCGGGTCCTCCGGTTTCCTCCCTTTCCTAAATACCCCTAGGGTGTATTTGAAACAGTGTTCCGGTGCAGAGAACGGACGGAGAATGGGTTCTTGTCGGACTTGAGCAGTCTGGAATGCGTTCACGAACACATTCCCGTTCTCAAATCCCACACTACCTCATAGCTGGTGTGAGGGAGAACAAACATGGGCGACGTATCGATAACTGCTGAGAAAACAGCATCATGGGTGCATTTATTAATTTAAAAGTTTAATACCGTTCGAAAATTAGATGTAGTATGTGGCCAGTATAACATCAAGTAAGTTAGGTTGCCAGGCAACGAAACATATGCCCACAGCAGTTTAATCGTTTGCGCAGTCAACAGGGATTGTCGCATATTCATTCTTTTGTAGGTAATGTGAGCATTTACAAGAAAATTTCATACAAGATTATAATTTTCGTCGTTTGCGGGTTTACAAAGGTCGACGCATCGATAACTGCTGAGAAAACAGCATCATGGGTGCATTTATTAATTTAGAAGTTTAATACCGTTCGAAAATTGGATGAAGTATGTGGCCATTATAACATGAAGTAAGTTAGGTTGCCAGGCAACGAAACATATGCCCACAGCAGTTTAATCGTTTGCGCAGTCAACAGGGATTGTCGCATATTCATTCTTTTGTAGGTAATGTGGGCATTTACATGAAAATTTCATACAAGATTATAATTTTTGTCGTTTGTGGGTTTACAAAGGTTCTACAAACTGAAACAAGGGCCTTAATTGTTGAAATTTGACAGATTTTTTTGTTTTGTGTTTTACTAATTTAAATAATGCATACAATTTTCATACAAATCGGATGATAATTTTGTTGTTCGTGCGTTCACAAAGTTCGAAAAAGTGAAACAAGGGCCACAACTCTAGACATAATTCACAGAAATCGCAGAAATTTAATAGACGTCTTCGTTTCACTAATTTAAAAGATTCAAATGAATTTCACAAAGTGAAACAAGGGCCATAACTCCAGAAGAAATTAAATAGGATTCATCTCATTAAAATAAACAACATATCAATTTTAAAATAATCAGTTCTGTAGACGACGGACAAACCTACGGACGAGGGCGTATCAAAAGGTGATGTAATCGTCATCCAAAGAATTGAAAAGGAGTAAAACGGTGTCATAATTTATCAAAATTATGCTTAATAGCGAAGTAAATACTAAACAAGTTATCGTAACAGATTGTATGAATTTAATTCATCTTGTTACCATGGATACCGTTCTCTCATGTTCGAGACTCATTAAAGTGTTTATATGTTCTTCAGCCGTTCTCGAACCTGCGCAAACACTGTTTCTAATACACTCCTACGGTACGCGCAAGCAAATCATTCAAATAAAATTGAACAATATTAGCCTCGAAATTACCTAGCGCCAGTAAGTATAAAGGATCTATCCGACAAACACTAACAACAACTCTAGGTTGATTACATGTCATTTGGGACTCACATCATTTGGGACTCGCGTCATTTGGGACTCCGGTATATGTCGTTTGGGACTCGGGTTAACGACGTTTGGGACTCGGGATAATTTATTAGAAATAGGCCAATTCAAACAAAACACGAAAGAAAATATTTATTAACATGAAACACGTGGTTAATAAAAGGCTCAACCAAACGATAAAACATTAGTTGCACTTACGGTTCTTTGATAATCATCGTTTCTCATAAAAATTTTATATTTATTTAAAACGAATAATATGCTGATGAATTTATTTGAAAATGAACTACACAAAAAACAAAATAAATATTTACACGACATGCAATCTTTTTTTACAAGCCCCTAGAAATTGTTTACGATAATCCGTGAGCTGCACGTTGACATGCTTGTCGTAGATGGCAATACCAACTGATAAATTAGTGCGTACAAGGCAAAGTGTTTTTGTGGAAAATATAAGAAATGGCAACGATCAAAGCGGGATAATTAAAGCTGATTAACTGATAATCCCAATGTTATTACAGTATGTTCAAAGAAACCTAACGGTTCTTTGGTGGATGAGGAAAAATGTGAGTTGTCAATCATCGAGAATGGCGGCCGTGTGTTGATTGCAGTTATACCGTTTCACGAAAAAACATTAGCAGTGGTCTGTCAATCAAGCTCGTTTACTATTTATAACGCAAATTTTTCGTTTCGGTTATAACAAAATATACGTCCATTTTAATTGGCCGAAGTATGTGTGACCAATAGAAATATAGCGGGCGGACAAACTGACCAAACAGTATATTTCGAGGTATTTGAGGTAAGCTAATTTAATATTATATCATAACTGCATGTGCATACTTGTGTTTCTGTGTGATTAAATATTCAAAAAATCATTCTTAGGATACAGCCTCGACACCAGTCAGCCCTGAATTGCAATGTTTGTTTTGTGTTCTGGGCGCCATTTTGAAAAAACTGACATGACCTATATAATACAATCCAGCAATAGTGCAGTCAATTTCCTTTAAAAGGGAATCCGAATTTGTTAATTTTCTGCAATATCACTTCGGTGGTAGCGGACGTTAAATAAAGCTATTTCACGTACAAAGACCTACAATAAAATCCAGGTGAATTGGGAAAAATATTCATGTATTTTCTTATTGAAGAGTAGCTATTTCAATTTGTAAATGCCCAGTCATCTTAGACAAATAATAATTCCAACTTCAAATCAGTTGTATTTATTCAAATCATACTATGAATAATTGTATTTTTCCACTTGCATAATAATAAAAACTTGACTTTTATTATTTTATTTCTTCAGGCCAAGAACATGGAAAATTGGTAATTGCCTTGTATCACAGCTAACTATAAGGCACAGGGAGCCTTGGGCAGAAATGATAATAATATGGTTCTCAGATATGTTACTGTGTACAGACTGAACAAAAAATATATATACACTTGCTATTACATGTACATTATATCATTGGCAATAATAAGATCCAATTTTAGTTTTTAGTTACACACTGTTAACCACCAATAGATGAAAATAAATCATAAAATGTATTCAGCTCGACGTAAGACTTAAATAAATAGATACAGTTGGTGTTACTTGAATAGAAGTTTTAATTATCTATGCTGCATATATGCATATATCACCTTGCAGCTGAATCACATTACATATCTTTTTAGTTGATGTTCATATCGTCTTACGTATTTGTCAACATCAATGTGACCTTGTTCTATGTCACATTAGCCTATTCACGTTACCACGAATTTACTCACCACACCCTGGCATAGTTATGAATTTATTGTTTCACTTGACTAAAGAAACATTTTGTAGGAATGTATGCTTTTATAGATTGGACACTTGTTTGCAATATCATTGTCGGTGGAAACTGGCACTATACCTAAAGAATGACTGAACAAATAGCGGAGACGGGGTTTCAGCCGGCTGATTTAAATTATTTCTTTAAATACAGTAAAGCTTGAAATATGTCAGTTTTCCCTCTTTAGAATGTTTTTGTAAATAAGTTTTTATTGTAGTTTCCGTGGCGTATTCCCAATAAGCGTTAGAAACAAAGATATACACCCTTAATCCCGGTGCCGATAAATGTTGGGTTGTGTGGAACATGCTAACAAATCTCAGGTACGATATATGTTTGATTCTGGTTGAGAACAGCATGAGAGCAACATGATTGTTTTCATTGGAGATGAGACGCAAATATTCAAAGGGGTCAGACAAACTCTAAACCAAACTCCCTTCACTGAGTCCCTTCAAAGGAGGCCCTGTCTGTCTACCTGTGGAATAACATGCATTTGTATCTGTTAAATTTGTGTGGTAGACAGATTGATATTATTTATATAACGTCTTACCCCAAACAAATTGCAAAAGAAACCATGAAGTTTCTGAGAGCGATATTTCGTATTTAGTGTGCTTTAATGGTGGGAGAATAAATAATAAGATTTTTCAAACACAAACTGATCATATATAAAATAGCATTTTCTGACAAGACCAGCGATAATCTCGTAAGATATGACTTTTACTATGTCTATTAAATGGTTTTCGACGTCTCTTCAAGGTCACCGTCTTGCGCCAAAGTCGTGAAACGCACCGTCGGGGGATTTGTTGGGGCCTGTCTCCCCCAGAAAAATTTCTAGAAATTTCAAGTCGGTCTTGCCTGGCCGTGAATACGGCAACCTGAAAGTGGTCGATTTTAATGTAGACATCTGAACTCCAATCAACAAATCAATCAACCAGGCTGTTGTCGTTGCATTCACATGACACCAGACGTGTCACCGATGAAATTAATATGCCTGAAACAAATGTCGCTGTTAGTGCGACCCATTTGTGACAATTTCAAGGTCCCAAATAATAGTCCTTTTTTACTATTAATAGTAATTCAATCAGTAAGTGCTATTTACCTTATAATAGTCGTCTTGGCTTTTACCCGACATTACACAAAACACCAATGGTGACTGTCGGGTGGTCTCTCCAGTCTTAATGAAGGCGTGTATGGAAAACAGCTGAGACCATGGCTTGTTCACCACCCGAAAAGTTGCATCCATATACCAAGTTTTTGCGCGTGCGAGTAGTTGCATCTGTCTATCAGTACAAAAAATGTGATGGCGCCTTTCCCCAACTTTTACTCTTTTTTGATAAAATCCCGGTGCACTATGATCGATGAAATCTTCGTCAAGCTAAAACAAAAAATAAATAAAAAAGTACATTTAAGTACATGTTGATAAATAAATAAAATTGTACATTTAATTACATGTTAATAAATTCTTATATACATGGGTATTTAATTGCATGAGTACTTACGCTTGACGACACGTCAGTGGGATCTTTTGGTCGCAGAGTCTGTCGGGTTCTTTATAGCGACCTTACAAGTGCTGCAATGGGTGGTCTGCTATGAATGGGTTCTTCTGCAGAACCGACACTGGATAAAACTCTCTCCGCTATTGAGGAACATGCCTTGGTAAAAACATTTCCTTTGGCTTCATGCTTTGCCTGTAATGATAAGATAAAACATATTAAACTACAAATATATTATTGGTTTATTTATATTTTATTTATTTATTTATATATTAAATTCATTTAATATTATTGAGTTAACTAGGTTAACTAGAGTTAATTATGCAGAATTAATATAACACAACATACACAGATGGCAATAGAATGAGACAGTGTTCAGAAAAAGGGCGGAAGAAGACTACCTGTCCTACTTGATTCTAGGACATATATATAGCATGGACCTACTTGATTCGACCAATTTAATACAAGGAAATGAATGGCATAGTTTTTAACAAGTGAATTTAGTGAACTTTAAACCCCATTTACTCGCCCTCTCTCTACAGAGATAAATACTTTTCGTGTTACATACAATAACAATTATTGGCCATTATTAAAAAAATATATTAAAAGGAAATGAAATTCTGTTACCTGTTTTTCTTTGTGTAGTACATGCTAACATCAATGACTGGAAAAAAAAATAACGAAACTGAATCATTGAAAGTCTAATATTAGGCCTACACATTGATGACATTGATATAAAAAAAAGGCTGATTTGTTTGTTGTTGTTTTTTTCTTTTACAGAAATAAGATTACATTTCAACTAAACAACTAACACAAAAGTTAGTATCTAGCTATAGTCCATGTCTGGATATACATTTCTCCTTTTGCCCGAACGTCTATAAAAATCAAAGATGGCGGCCAATAATTGCAACCGGGTATTACTATAAAATCAAGACAGATTCTTACCTGCTGGTCCTAGTCGGGGGTTTCTTGCAATTATAAGTATTTGAACAACGGTGTAGCGCCGATTAGCTAATAATAATTAAGCACGATTTCAAAAAAATTTGTGGCGCCATTACATAAATAGACTTCCGGTGCAGTCAGTGGCAGTAGTTCTAAATCTGACTGTTTTAAACGAAACGAATTATTATATACATAGAAGCAATATATACATGCTAAATTAAATACACGGTTTTATTTTTTGTAAAAATTTACAAACCTGCGGTCTGGTATTCTATGTGACCATTATAATTTTTTTTTAAATATCACGGCTAAAGCACCCTGTTGATGCTAACTTCACTACATCTATCTAACTGAATGTCGCTGATATAATATCAAAGAAAGAATTTGTCGCAATGACTAAAGTATAGATACTTCTTCTTAGTTAGTTGTATTTTACGTCCGCTTCCACCGAAGTGATATCGCAGACAAAAAGTATAGATAACTTGGAGAACCATTATATCAATAAGTCGATAATGAGATACAAGTGGATGATCAATTAAATTTGATTGGTTACTTTTCAGTTAACCAATACTGTCCAATTTCGATTACATCAACCAATTACATTATTAAGAGTTTTACTCATTTTTTTTGTTCATTGTACATTGAATCAATTTTCGAAAACACCAGGGTGCTGAAAATCACATGTACACTATATATTCATTTGATCTATCAGTTTATTGGGTCAATAAAAAAAGACAGACATTTTAACTTTACAGACAACTTAACATCAATTAACATTCAAGTCTGTCTGGCAATTGTCTGATTAATTGGTACTCACACCTTCCAGTGAAGAACAGCATGTGATTTTCGAGATGTGAATTAAGCCCTTTATTACTTTTCTTAAAACTTGACGACTCCCGAATTCAGACTTTGTATGGAGTTTTTTTTTTAAAAAGAAAACAAATCTTGGAAGGTACACATTACTTGTGTTAATGATATGAAAAAAACACAAGATTTTATAAATCGACACAAGTTTGTGTTAATGCAATGCAAAACAACACATAACTTGTGTAGATTAGTTTTAACACAAGTACTTGTGTTAAGATCCAACACAAGTGTTTTTTCAGTGTACTTATAATATAGCTAGACACGTTTTTAATACTATTGTGATTACTTAAAAATGATATGTTTATTGACTTTGTGTTATTTATTTGTGCGTCACATTATTTATATGAATAAAGAGTACAGTCTCCTATCGTACTTGAATTGAGGGTAGTCCAGGCAGAAATTACTCAGTATCTAACTTAGTGAAGGCATTGTTGTAGTGAAAGCATACACCCGCGTTCACCACACTCACTCTAATAGAATCAAAGTTATCGCGCTCCAAAGTCTCGGCCAGTCAAATTGCTTATTGATCTGCTTACAGTACCCTGAGCAGTACTGAGCAGAAAATGCTCATTATCGACGCTAGTCAACGTATGGGTGTACTGAAACTAGACATCAAATTTTATCATTCTCACTAAAGTAAAATCAAAATTATCGTGTCCCAAAGCTTCGATCAATGAAATTGCTTATTTACAACATTCAGCTGATAAACATCAACATAAAGTTAGAACATTTTAGCTCAATTAGAAGGAGAGCAATCTGATTAAAACACAGATCCTATTTCGTTTCGTTTTTATAGTTCAAAATTTCGTTTTACTTGTCTTTACTACACTAGGATCTGGAAGAGTTGTTATCATTGACATGTTCTGGGTGGTGTGGGGGATTAGCCAATGAAACGGTCTGTTGCGTCGAGCTTTAGGCGTGTTTTGCACGGAACTGTGGGTAATCCACCAGTAACATCATTGCTGACTGGTTAATCAAATGTCTGATGTCATAGGGACGAAAGCCGCTCGTATGACCTTTGACGCGACCTATCGCTACAACCGGTCAGATCTTTGTGTAGTGTAGGCCATCGAAAGTATAAAAAACGAAACGAAATATAGATCTGTATTTTAATCAGATTGGAAGGAGAGTTATATTATTGTGTCAGTACTCGATTGTTGTGTGTAGAAACAACGCCCACCCTAGCTTAGACAAAGTCCATTTTTATGCAAGGAAACGGATAATAAGGCACATAATACTTAATAGCAAAAGGGACCACTTCAGTATTACTTTCTTATGTGTAGAAAGTTCCGTAAAGAAATACGCATTGGTTCTTGAGATAGGTCCCGGAAACGACACTTTAGACTAAGTATAATTTGATTCATTAAACAGATTAAGAGACAAAAAGGCCAGACAGGTCTAAAGCGCGAAAGGCTTTTGTTGCGAATTGAACAGCTCTCGATGTCCGCCCTGGACACGACACGAATTCCCAGATTAACCCAACTCTAAATTATGCAGAAGGACTAGAATCAAAATATTGAAAAAGTCTAAACAGCAAAAGGAATCTGCTCCGCATGCAACTCGCAATTATACAAAGTTTCATCCAGAAACACTGAAACAAAAGCGGACGGACACACAAAACGAGCATGACGGCATATGAGTTCACATTATGCCGGGGATAAAAGGAATGGTATGTTGTCCTGGTTGTTTTAATGAAAGATTACAAATTTAATTTCATACATATCAGGTTATTTTGTTTAAAATGGTTTAAAAACACCCAGCAGTCACCCTAAAGAACGGAGAGGTAAGTGACTCGTCAACTAATATTTCGTCTTCAATTTCAGCCAAGGTCGTATATTCACCTTCATAATATAATATGAGAGAGAGAGAGAAATGGGGTTTAACGTCCACTCGACACAAACTAGGTCATTTCGGGACTAACATATGGTTTAATTTTATTTACATAATTCGCTTGCGCGTAGGGGTCTTTAGCAGTGGGAGGAAACCGGAGGACCCGGAGAAAACCCACGAGGTTGGACAGGCGACCCTACTCCTTGCCACGTACAACCGGGGATTCGAAACCACGCCAGTCGACTCAATGACAGACTTTATGATACAGCGCGCACACGCTAACCATTCAGCCATCCAACCCCCTCATAATATAATATAATAGTCATATCAAAGTTAAAGTCTGTCTATATAATAAGGCTTCTCATTACAGAATAATGATGTCTTAGTTTAGATTTACCCGATACTGAAGGTATCCAAATATACTAATCTAAGTATTTAGGGATAGCTTGACCACGTGAATCGCTTTAACATGTAATTGTTAATGTTTTACTCAAAACACGTATGGAACTAGTGCACGCGCAGTCAACATTTAATCAAATAATTGAATACTCCAAGCACTTCCTACTTCCCCTATCTAGAACAACCAATTCTCTACATTTTGAGCAAACAACGGCCAAAATGTTAACGGACAGATACCGCAATTTATGACCGGGTTATTTATTATGCCTTAATGAACAATCTCATCAAGTTTTAAAAACTTCCATCTAGATCTCACTTCTGTATTGTGCTTGCAAACTTTAAAAAAAAATTAAGATATAAAGTGGAGAAAACACCAGGAATTAAGATTAAAGTCTTCTTAATGTCAAATGAACAAGTTCAGTAAAGTTCTAACGAATTTACATTATCTGCCGGGTTTTGGTGAATAACGAAGGTGAAGGAATTGGGATTAACATCACAGCAAAATAATATTTCGGTCATTTTGAGACTTGAAAATGAAATGAAATGAAATGGAGTTTAACGTCCTACTGTTCTGCTCCTAACCTGGGCTAATGAAGACGGGCATACGCCATACAGTGTGCTATGAGGGAAATTTTGCCCGGACAGCGGCACTACGGCCTACTCTTTTATATACAGGTAAAATAACGTGAAAAGTGACGCATGGAAAATTGCCTATTTCTCGCCAACTGCGCATATAACAAATTAATTTTCACATACATTCACTTCGTATGGATTATTCCTACGAGTTTATGAAAGTTACGAAGAAATATTTCAAAATATGAATACGCTGAATGTGTTGTAAATAGCGTAATTTTACACTTTTTTTCACCTTTTAATCGAAAATGCCCGAAGTTTTGTGCGCCTTTAAAGGGCGCACCTTTTCCGTTATACCAGATTTGAAAAAAAATAAAATTTGCTTTCAAAAAGTGGTACTGAATTGTCAAAATTTTAGTGTTTGGTATAATTATGTCACTTCTGGTGCCGACATGAACCTTTAACGGTAACAAAAAAATGACATGTTGTCAACATTGAAATATTCCCAAATTTGTGAAAATTGTGTATTCTGTGACCCTTTTGTTATAGACCAAATATAGCATTAACAACAAAACACATACTTATGGAAAACAGATACTAGTGTATTTAAGGCGACGTTTCGTAGAGTATTCTCTCAACGTTATCAAGCTAATACAGTAAAACAGGTATGAGGCAAATATATATAGACAAAATACAACACCCTAACCGAAACCATACTCTACGAAACGTCGCCTTAAATACACTAGTAGCTGTTTTCCATAAGTATGTGTTTTGTTGTTACTCTATCCAGTTACTAAATGCCATTTAAAGAACAAATATAGCATTGTTTTCATTCATCAAGGCCTATTTTTTAACCACAATTCATATTTATTGCACATATTTGAGAGTTAACATTAAAGTCAATGGGGAAATCATTGGTGATTGTGGCCATATAGTTATTTATATAGGACCCACACGCACACACCTCAATAGACTTGATTTCTCCCTACGCCAGTAATTTACCGTGTACTACCTACATGTTCTGCCTTAAATTGTAAAATCTATGAAATCCACATTTTCGTTTGTACTGGATTTCTGCAAATATGATACCACCAACTCTGGTAAAACCCATGTCGCCATCTACATCACGTGTTTTGAATGCCGATGCCCTGTCTCAGTCGCTAGAAAGGGCATTACTCGCGTAGACCTTGCTAGGGTGGGTTCCAGGCCTTTGATGGCAGTTTCGATTTAATCCGTCAAGGGCTTCGAAAAAATACCATTCAGCTCCAAACCCCCAATTTTGCATACAGGCGCCAGTAACGTGAAAACTTCTTTCAATATTTAATTGTGATCAAGTCAGCGAGATCAAAGTACGAGTATTTAAAGAACTGGGGGTTGTTTCACGAAATTTTAACTAAGATAAAATCCAAATTTTAGTAATTTGATTGGATAAAATTAGGCAGATTCTAGTGCTTAGCCAATCAAAATTGAAGTATCTACTAAAATTTGGATTTTATCTTTAGTTAAGATTTCAAGAAACAGGGCCCTGATAAAGAATTGTTTTAAGATGAGTTATTTGCCCCTGAATCGGATTCAGGCAAGTTATGTTATGATCTCGCTCATTTAGTCACAGCTTAAAGGACAATATTGGTGTCAGTCATTATAAAATATGTGATAGAACTGGTTAAATACATCCCAAATATAACTTTAACACAGAGATCATTGCTACGGGAGATGTGTAACAAGCGCGTGAAGAAACGGAAAGTGACGACAAACATGTGGTAGATACAAAATTAATATTGCCAGTATAACTAAATAAAATGAAAGATCTACAAATGGTGCAACTAGATTGAACTAGAAACTAGAAAAGAATATCAATCCTATAAATAAAGATCTTCATTTTCACCATCACACGAACATCAGCCTCATTCTTTGAAACGCAATAACATTGTTTCTATTGAATGGAGTTTGGTGAAACTTGGAATACACCTGTGTTATCACAACCAAACGTTGTTCGAAAATCAATGCCATTTATCAAAATGTGAAATACGCCTTTATTACCAATAGCGATGCCATCTAATTACTTGAGACACAATAACTATATTTTTATGAATTAAATCTGGAAGCTTATATTTAACATTATCTTTTATATATAGATGAAATCAATTACATTTACTTTCTTGGTTCGAGTGATAATACCTTTTTTTATCTATATTGTGGTCGTAAGTTTGTTGAATAGAAGACTATGTTAAAAAGTATATGCCAGGGGTTCTTATATACACGTATGGCTCGAAGTACGTAAAGAAGAAACATTATACAGTCAAAACATTTTTTTTATGTAAATCATATAAATGTCATGTCTTTCTTTTTATTCCACGCACGTGGCATATATTACCCAACCAGTGGATGTGGTTCATTACAGCCTTCCGGGTTCAAAAATCGATTGTATCTATCATACGTCACCCTCGTCTTGAATCCACAGACTCTTAGATTATAATTCGCACAATTATTTGTTATGGCGTGCACTCTGAAAAATAAAATTAAATAATTTGCAGTTAGCAAGCACAGAGTGTGGTAAAATAACCCCAAATAAAGAAATAATAATACTGTTAACAAACAATTCTGGGAGAATTTCGAGAGAGAGAGAGAGAGAGAGACAGAGAGAGAGAGTTTAACGTCCACGCGACACAAACTAGGTCATTTCGGGACTAACATATGATTCAATTTTATTTCAATAATTTGCTTGTGCGTAGGGGTCTTTAGCAGTGAGAGAAAACCGGAGGACCCGGAGAAAACCCACGAGATTGGAGACGTGAAAGGTGATGCAATCTACTGGTGAATCGACAAATGTGTCCTCCGTTTATCTATAAGAGTCAGAATAAATGACAATCACATATCGCAGCGTTGAACTTCAAATAATTCCGGAAAACAGAATACATTATTGTATTAAATTTCAATGGAATATCTCAAAGTTTCCTAAAAGAACAAAATTTGTGGAAAACAGAATTCTCATTGGATTTTAATTCGACAACGGGCCGTAATTCAATCAAATCGCAAACTTGATCATTACTCTGAGCTAGTTACGGCCGTGCGATTATCTCAAGTTAAAATGTGAAAAATTGCGGAAAAAAATAAAAACGACAGACATGCAGACGGATGGACGAATGCAGTTTGAGCCCAAAAAGGTAAATCATATATTTTGTACCGAAACACTCTTTTTTCCGCTTGGACAATTAAACAACCGTATGCGTAACTGGTGGTGTTGGAGTCCCAGCACACAGGGGAGTGCAGAACGTGACTTGTGCTCAGGGTACTTACAAACAAACAACTGCTAGTGTATCATTTCCATATTTTTGTATATTATAATCATTCTTCGCTACTTCCAGTTTTGTACAGTTGCTAATATCCCATGTATGCCTTCTGATACAATCCATGTCCAGATCTGGAAATATAGTTTTCTTGTCATAATTCGTATAAAATTATCTGACTTTTGGCAATATCATTATCCTATACATAAAGAGAAATGGTTCGTATCTTCTGATGAGTGAGAGAAATAACCCGTATCTCATTTCTTATTGTTCTGTTAGAGTGATAATGGCAAACTGTTTCACAGTGATATAAGAAAAGCTTCTTTAACCACTGTACAAGATAACCGACCTTGAAGATCACGCCCAGTGGTACAGTACGGATGGCCTGGCCAGGAACAATATTTAGTCGCTTTGATGTGACGTAAAAGGGAGGTTACGTGTACACTTTGGCGTGCACGTAAAATAACAATATTGGCAGTCGGGGCAAAATTCTCCCATTGCACACCCGTCCCGATTAGACCAGTGAGTGCAGAAAAGAAGGACATTAAACCACATTTCATTACACCTCAGAACTCAGTGCCGATATAAAGAATGTTAGTTTACAAGGTTATTTAAATATCACACCAGCGGCTGCCAGGCGGGATACGCCCACATTTTGCAAGAGATGGATAGAGAACAAGCTTAAAACAAACGGGATTTTTTGTACAATCAGGGGCAATAATCCAGAAAATTACGGTCTGAAATGCGCAAATATCAAAAGGGACTGAGATCTTTGGGATATAAAGATATGATTTAAGTTTCATCAGAATCAGACAAAAATTGTGATCTCTAGAGGGTCGACAACCTTTGCATTGCATACTTTTACACAATTTGCGTACGAAGAGCGGCCATTTTGTTGGGCAGTTTCATTTCGATTTTCCCGAAATTTGAATTCAACCTTCATTATGGTGGAATGGTGAAATATTTAAACGGTTTTTAAAATCGGAAAACAAATTGTGACCTCTAGAGAATCCGCAAGCTAAAAATGCCATTTTTCGAACAATCAGGGGCCATAATCCAGGAAGTTAAGTTCGGATATCCGCGATTATCAAAAGGATCCATGATCTTAGTGTGTAATGGTGATATAATCACACATTTGTTTTTAAATCAGATAAAAAGTGTGACCTCTACAAGGACCAACAGCTAAAAACGCGATTTTTCGTACAATCAAGGGCCATAATCCAGCAAGTTACTATCCGATATGCCGAATATCGAAAAGAACCAAGATCGTTGGCTTATTAACTTACATTTCAAGTTTCATCAAAATCTTGACCTCTAGAGGGTCCACAACATTGATATACCATATTTTTTACACTATTTGAGTACGAGGGCGACTATTTTGTCTGTCGGTTTTAATCCGATATTTACGAAATTCGAACTCAACTATCTTTAGGGTGTAATGGTGATATATTCGAACGTTTTTTAAATCGGATAAAATTATGACCTCTATAGGGTCGACAAGCTAAAAACGTGATTTTTCGTATAATCAGGGGCCATAATTCAGGAAGTTACGGTCCGATATGCGCGAATATCGACAGGAATCGAGATCTTTGGGTTATAAACTTATATTTCAAGTTTCAACACAATCGGATAAAAATTGTAACCTCTATAGGGTCCACAACCTTGATATACCATATTTTTACGTTATTTGGGAACGAAGGGCGGCCATTTTGTCCGTCAGTTTTGAGCCGATTTTCACGAAATTTGAACTCAGCCGTCCTTAGGGTGTAACGGTGATATAATAATACGGGTTTTTTTGTAAATCGGATAAAAATCATGACCTCTATAGGGGCCACAAGCTAAAAACACTATTTTTCGTACAATCAGGGGCCATAATTCAGGAAGTCGCGGTCCGATATGCGCGAATATCGACAGGAATCGAGATCTTTGAGTTATAAGCATACATTTCAAGTTTCATCAAAATGGGATTAAAATTGTGACCTCTATATGGTCCACAAGCTAAAAACGTGATTTTTCGTACAAACAGGGGCCATAATCCATGAAGTTTTGATCCGATACCTGCCAATATCGAAAGCAACCGAGATATTTTTAGATAAACCTATAGTTCAAGTTTCGCCAAAATCGGATAAGAATTGTGACCTGTAGAGTGTCCACAAAACAAATTGTGGACGGACGGACAGGGGCGACGACAATATACGTCCACATGAAAATGTGGGCGTATAATAAAATAAGCTAATCAAATTGTAATCTAATTTTAATTAGATTGTATGTATGTACAGGTCATAAACTCTTTTACCCTGGTGGTGGGAACACAAATACGACACAGATTCTGCTTGTAGTTTCTGGGACGGTAACAATTTTGTAGACTCATCTGTTGAACACGATCTGGTTATATTGTCAGCACATACCAAGGCTTCTGCGTAGACATCTGAGTTACTGAAAACAGAAAATAGATTCGTTAAAGATAGTTTCCCGCGTTCAAACTGTTTGATTTGATGATATACGAGTATTTGACTAAGAACATATTCAAAGTAATTCATCTATGAAGAAAGTGCTTTAAATCTCTTTAAAAACTTTGTATTCGCGGGGAGATACCGCAAGCTATAAAAATATCTATTCTTATAAGCCATGTTTGTCACCTAACCTGATTGAGGGAGGCTCCATTTTTCAGATTTTATTTGTCATTACGTACTGTCCATTTACCAAACATATTGAGGCTTAAGTAAATTATTGAATTATTTTCTGTCAACGTCTGCTTCCGCCGTTTAATTGCAGAGTCCGTTATACGTTTACACCCATAAATGATCCCCAAACCACCTATCCATTGATAAAGATATAACAACCGCTCCCTCAGTCAAGCTAGCACACCATAAGCCGTCGGATTACCAGTTAGTGACACCCTGACATTTTTGCCAAGAGCTCGCCCCATGGGTATTTTTCGGGAAATCCAGTATTTTTCTTGTAAGATTTGGCCTCTATACTTTCCATATATACCAAACTATTGGAAATAACCACCGATAAATACTTTCGTGACAATGTATCTTTAAAAGTAATAAACCTTGAAGGACAATCACATGAATTAATGTAATAATACTCAGTATTCAAATTGGAAGTACGGTTATCATTTAATGATACTATCAGTTAATTAATCAGTTCTTCGATCGCAACTGATAGTTAACATGAATTAATATAGCTCTTCTTATCGTAATAATCAGTATTCAAATTGGAAGTACAGAACTGAACTATTGAAGGTAACATACAGTTAATTATATTATCACATAATTAATCACTTCATCAGTCGCCAATTACAGTTAACATGAATTTTATTATTAGTTAGTTAATTAATCACTAATTCTTATCATAATACTCAGTATTCACTTTGGACGTGCAGTGAGCATTTAATTATATTATGAGTTAATCACTTCTTCGGTTCATACTCTCCGATTTCAATGTATCACACATCAATCGGGTTAATGTTCTGAGTCATTTTACTTCACACCATATCCGCCCTTCTGATATTTTAATGTCGCCTTGAACGTTAATCTACTTTCAATTTAATCTTCCTGTTATTGGTGACACACTAAAAGCGTACACATTTACTTTAAGAGAGTGATTCCCAACCAGTGTGCCGCGGCACACAGGTGTGCTGCGACATCTTCCTAAGTGTGCCGCGAAATTTTGAACGGCACACTAAGACAATTTGTCACTAAAGAAGCCAGCTATTTGACTGATGAAATTCGAAACACTTAATAAAGTAAGTTCATAGCGGTGTTTTTCTTTATTTAGTTTGAGTCATTCTAAGTGGCTATGACTAGTCTGTGTCTACGGTTGTATGCCATCTATTATTTTGCAAATTTCAATATATATATCATATATATTTAGCCAAGTGTGCCGCTATTTTCATGTGTTCCAAAGTGTGCTGTTGGCAAAAAAAGTTTGGGAACCACTGCTTTAAGAAGAGATAACATAAAAACACGTACTTGCACATCAAGTTAAAATCTTTCGGCTTATCATCAGATATGGAAATTTGGCGACCGGGTAGTGGTAAAGCAATGTCTATGCCTCGGTCATCAAAACATCGTTGTTTAGCAGCGTGTTCGCTGTACACATTGTCACATACGTAACATAGTGATATATTCAATGAACACAGCAGCACTGTAACTAAATGTAATAATAGAGTTCGTTAAATAGAGGAAATTGTGCTTAAGTAGTATTATTAACACATTACAAAGTACTTGTGCAATTAAATCGTAGGCGTACGCAATGAATTGTTTTCGAGTCGCACTTCGAAGTACTGCAACAGAGGAACAACCAGTTATCCATAGCCAGAAGCCTACATCAAGTTGATTTGGGCGAGTTTTAGTGAAATTATGATGGAGCATTGGAGCTCTATTATTTCAATGTGGCCTGGCCGGACTAAAATTTATTGTGGGGAACAATGGAAAACACACACGAGGTGAGATAAATGGACCAGATGTCATGCCCTGGGAATACGAAACAGACAGTACAAATTTTCTAAATGGAATGTACAATTCAAGTTGTAAAGTGAATAGAGTCAAACTCTTACCCAGCAATTCTAGTGATCCCAGTGAAGCCATAGTTAGAGTAATCGTTCTTCTTCGTGAAACAGGGTGTATATTGTTGAATTGCGACATGAGTTCCATAACAGATCATATCTTAGATAAGATAGTGTTTATCAGGTGTACGGTATGACTTACAGCTGTTTGTGTAGAACATTCCAGATAAGTCCATGCATATGTGGCAATAAGGAAAAGTAATACGTGCATTTTATTTACGCAAAATGCATAGTGGAAATGAGAATTGTTGCTGTTAACATGTTTTTTTTCCTACACCCAGAACTCGCGGGGACTAGCAAATTCAATTTGGTTTTGTAATGTGGTATAGTTGGAAAAATAACATTAAAGATAATGGTCATGTCACAGGGTTTTGAGTAAACTAATTTGCACGATCGGTATACTAAAATATAGCCCACTCAACGGCGAACAGATTGGTGTCCATCGTCTTAGGTTAAGTAGAGTTCAAATGGTGTTCCAGATATTCAATTTTATATTTAACCTATATAAAAACATAATGGTTGTGGGGTTACATTTGGGATTGCCATACATTGCGGGAAATCAAATTTGCTGTTAACATGGTTTGTCCTCTAAAATAGACCCACGGCGTCTAGAAAATACCAATTCCATTTAATAAGAGGTATGCGTTTATTTTTAGCCCCAGACTAGGTGTATTTCTGTATATGAGGCTTTTTGTCCCAAGCAAATACCTTAACTTCTGTGACAATTTTTTAAAGAACTACAAACGCCAAAAGCTTCTTGATAAGTGACCAACTTGTACCTGGATAAACCTTTTTATAACTTCCCCATTCACCCATACTTTCGTTTTTATTGTTTCGAGTAAGTAATACAATTTACAGGTAATTGCTATTATTGTAGTGTTTAGCCATGGACCTTATCCATGGACCTTATAATACATAAGGCCCATGGTTTAGCAATATCAGTTTAATATCATTATGAATTATGAAGTATTAGATATGAAAAGTGGGTGATTATTCGCGCCCCTAGCTTGTGGTAGGTATCGAACACTAGACAGAATGAGGTCATTAAACTTCACCACTCAAATATTTGCTGGGGTAGATGTTCATTTTATCCACGTGTGGGACTGTGTCAGAGTTGAACACGTTAATAATCTTAGAACTGATTCCAGAGAATGACCGACTTTATTAGAAAGAGAGATTCGATCCCAATTACATCGGTGATTTTAAATTTAATTAACCAATAATAGTACTAGGATCTCGACAAGCATCCGGTAAGATATATTCATTATAAGTTCTGTAGACTAGCCTTGAGCGTAGACCACAATCTCTAAGATGGTAGTTGGCACAGACACTACTGATAGTGAAGGTCCTGCAAATACAAAACAGTCTAAGTTAATTACTATATATAAATATGTATAATATTTTTCATTTGCGCGATCTCGGTCTCTAATGATTTAAGCGGTATCAAATGGGCAATAACAGTCGTCTAAATTCTAAACAGGAGGTGTTTATCGATATTGTAGCCCAAACTATTTAACATTTTTCTTAAAATTCTTTCTTTCGCGATAGCTGACGGTCGGTGTGTTTTGTTTTAATTACGTAAAAACGCAATGAAAACATCCGTGACGTAATAACATAACACTCCCTCGCATTTAAGTGACTAGGTTCGAAATAAATTGAATATTATGTTCGATAAATGTCCATACACTCCATTGTCAATTCCGAACATTCGCGTTATTTAATTAAAAGAAAAGTAAAATGAGTGTTTTATTAGATTATGGGCACTATATTTTGTCAATTAGAACAAAGTATTGTGGTGTAGAATTTTTTGTCACTGCAAAGAGACTCTAGTATCCAAAATATATTCATTCGCAGTGATTCGCCCAGGGAATTTAGAGGACTGTTATACTCAGTCGACGCCACTTTTCGACCAATCGGAATTTAAGAAAATTCCATTTTGGGCTACAATTGATGCTAAACAATTCTGCAATCTGATTAAAACACAGATACTATTTCGTTTCGTTTTTTATAGTTCAAAATTTCGTTTTACTTGTTTTCACAACACTAGGATCTGGAAGTGTTCTTATATATAGACGTTCTAGTTGATGGGAGGAATTAGCCAATGAAACGGTCTGTTATAGCGAATTCTTGGCGTAAACCACTAGAAACGCCAACGCTGATTGATAAATCAATGTCTGACGCCATAGGGTCAAAAGTCGCTCGTATGATCCCTGACGCGCCCCCCCCCCCCCTACTACAACTGGTCAGATCTTTATGTAGAAGAGGCCATCAAAGTATATAAAAAAAGAAATGAGATCTGTATCTTGTATGATTTTATCATTGATTGTTACCTTAAAAAGACGACGAAATTGATGTGAGTTCTAAGGTGGTCCAATATACATGCGCTTCTCCTAATAATAACACCAAGTCTACACCCGGCTTACATACGTTGGCCTAGTGGTCCTGGTGACTATTACAATATGTATACAGTGTTTCTTTTACTTTGATGTAGATTCTGATTCCCAATATTAGTGTATTATGCAAATATACCGTTGGGTTGGAGCAAAAATGTCGTAAGTGACATTTTTCATTACCAGACTGTTATAAGCTGAATTTGATTTCACGATAGAACATCAATGTCACATAGGCTATGAGGTCATTAACAGTATGCTGTCATAATCATTATAATAGTTATATTAATTCTTAATATTAAAATGTATTTGGTCGAGCTTATTTATCTTATATTTATTGGGTCAATGTGCGTTTTTGGTTACTTTCTGCACTTACGACAATTTTGCACCAACCATCTAGGCCAAAATTTGTTAATAGATTTTATCTTGTTCATATTTCCCCAAAATATGATATTATAATAGTTATATTAATTCTTAATATTAAAATGTATTTGGTCGAGTCTATTTATCTTTTATTTATTGACTCCAATGTGAGTTTTGGGTTACTTCCTGCACTTACAACAATTTTGCACCAAACATCTAGGCCGAAATTTGTTGGAGCAAAAATGTCGTAAGTGAATTTTGGCTATGAGCCAAAAATTTATACAAGGGCCAGACAACACTCAAGCACTCGAAATGTATTATAAATCAGAGATATGAATCTCATTAGTAAATAAATAATGACAAGAAATAGTCATTTTCATTTAAATCTTTAAATGCAATTTTCTCCATTTTTTCAAAATGTCACTTACGACATTCTTGCTCCAAGCCAACAGTACAGTATGCATGTTTATGGTCTTAAAATGGTTATAAAAATGAAAGGTAAACAGAAATAAAGCAACACTTACATGCATAGTGCCTTCGTGTAATCCTTGGAAAAATCGGGTGCATCAGTTGAATTCTTTAATACTTCTTTTAATGCACATGCTTTGACATCATCCATATGGCTTTGTATACAATCGGGTTTTAATTCTGTAATGTTGATTTATCCATGGTTAAATTAAATATGACATAGCATTATCATGGTTAAAATAACCATCAGACAACAAGTTAATGGTTTAAATGACCATCACATCGTATTATAATGGTTAAAATCATCATCACGTCGTATTGTAATGCTTAATTACGTTCCCAAACATACCCCAATTCAGTATATAGTATTATCATGGTTAAAAGTTTAATAAAGTTATATTGCATTATATACAGATATTAATGGCCATTTTTCATATCGCGAAAATGTTTACATGAATAATGGAAAATGCTCTGATACAATATTTATTTATCTATCAAGCCCTATTTATACCGACTCGCTAGTGTAAAAATTCAACATAAAGAGCAAATCTCTGGTTTATGCCTGCAGCCCTACTCTCAAAAATAGAACAAAGACTTACATCTATATTCATGTGCAAAGGCCCCTCGGTTGTATCTGCGAATTGGACAGCCGGCTAAAGAAAGCAGTGAATGAACTGGTCGATACTAGACAGCCCAGGCATTCTTTATATAAACCAGCGGTTGCCAGGCAAGATACGCCCACATTTTGCAAGAGATGGATAGGGAACATGCTAAAAAAGACGATTTTTCGTACAATTAGGGTCCATAATCCAGGAAGTTATGGTATGAAATGCGAGAATATCGAAATGGACTGAGATATTTGGGATATAAAGATATATTTTAAGTTTCATCAAAATCGGATAAAATTGTGACTTCTAGAGTCCACAACCTTGGTATTACATACTTTTATACTATTTTTGGTCCCATTTTCATGAAACTCGAGCTCATCGGCCATTAGGGTGTAACGGCGATACATTTAAACGCTTTTAAAAAACGAATAAAAATTGTGACCTCTAGAGGGACCACAGGCTTTAATTCAGGAAGTTACGATCGGATATGCGCAAATATCGAAAGGAACCAAGATCATTGGGTTATAAACATGTATTTCAAGTTTCATCAAAATCTGTTGAACAATTGTGACCTCTAGAGTGTTCACAAGCTAAACGCGTGCTTTTCCGTACAATCAGGGGCCATAACACATGAAGTTTCGATCCGATACATACCAATATAAACAGGAACCGAGATCTGTTGGAGATGAACCTATATTCCAAGTTTCGACAAAATCGGATAGGAATTGTGACCTGTAGCGTGTCAACCAACAAATTGTGGACGGACGGACGTCTAGACGGACAGGGGGCGGCGACAATATACGTCCACATGAAAATGTGGGCGTATAAAAACTGTATGTCGTTAAACTTTAAAGAATCTAACACATTTTGAAAGTTTGTATCAGAACTGTTTACACTTGAGAGAAAAGGGCTGGCATGTTTAAAATCTTATTTTATTTGTTATCCAACTTTTGTTCAACATGTTGAGCTCATCGGAGGAAAAGGTTACCCCACATATATTATTATGCCTGGCGGGTATAATTAAAGTATTAGATTTGATCGATAGACCCTAACTGAAGCGAGATCGGGTTGCGTGTAATAGCCGGTCCTGGATAATCTGCACCTACCTGTTAAATGACTACACAGATAATTGATAGATTTGGTGTACTCCGTAGAAGTTGGGACTAGAAGGGCCACTTCCTTGGGAGCACAGGATCTGCTGATATTAGAAGCACACAAACCTGACCGAATAAAAGCTGCTGAATCACTGTAACAGAGAACAGATTCAACTTTTTACCTGTAATATTATTATCTGTCTGTCCGTCATTCAGTCGGTCGGTCACACCTATAGGACACAATAACACGTGGGCGTCCATTAGATGAGGGTGGTGGTGGGCATTTGCGAGTACACATGGGTGTCTCGTACATGAATTTATGGGTTTATTTTTCAAATTCATATGTCCATTGGCGACGACCATGATACAGTATAAGAACTTTACAAAAGCAAAAGATACATTTCAAAGACACCATGTTATGTGATGACTCAATCTGATAAAATCAGATGTCAATTTCATTTTATTTCTGATGGTTTACTACAAAGACATCTGACATATTTATTTGAGATCGCCAGTCACATCATGTGAACCAATTAACCAACCAAATTATAAGTAGTGATTGTATGGCGGTCATGGTACACAAGAATGCGGTACCTGATGAACACTGGTCAAGTTGTGCAATGAATTTGATAAAAAACAACCTGTTAGTTTGTCTCTGAGTCAGCCAATGTGAAATTATGTCCATGCAGCGTTTCTAGGGAGTGGGTGATCGAGAGTGATCGAGAGAGAGAGAGAGAGAGAGAGAGAGATAAAGAGAGAGAGAAAGAGAGAGAGGGGGTTTAACGATCACTCAGCACAAACTAGGTCATTTGGGGACTAACATATTGTTCAATTTTATTTCAATAATTCGCCTACGCGTAGGTGTCTTTAAACAGTGGGAGGAAACGCGAGGATCAGCAGAAAACCCACGAGATTGGACAGGCGACCCTACTCCTTGTCACGTAAAAATCGGGGAATTGAAACCACGCTAGTTGATTCAATGACAGACTTTATGATATAACGCGCACGCGCTAACCATTAGGCCATCCACCACCCAGTCCCGATAGCACACCGTTTGACAGAGCATGTCAGTGATAGAAAGTTGATAAGATTATAGAAAAGTGCAAGTTTCCACGAAAACAAAGGGGAAAAAACCCCAACGATATTATAATCCATTTTAATTATATTGCGCAATGGTTATGAATTTCTTATCATTTACGGCCTATCAAAAGATAAGCTTTATAAAGTACTCAGAATGGGGTCGTCATTACGATAAAATAAGTAATTTATTGGGAACAGGGTGTGCCATTGCATAAAATTGGGACTCCGAGTTCGATCTGCGTAGTGGTCGTATTTCAATTTCATTTCGTGAGAACCTACTTGCACACGGCACCTGTATCTAATACTACGTCCTTCAGCTGTTCAGTGGCTAAAGGTATAGCATAATCAATGCCTTCATCGTCGAAACATCTCTGGAGAGCTGCATGTTGTGTATATTGGTTATCGCAAACATCGGCGTTCACGAAAACAACTGACAATATGCCTGAAATACACAACATATGTTAGCAGTGACATTCTCGAAAACACCTATATAGACACACATTCTGTACACAAGCCATTAAGAATCTAAGTTTTGCAAACATTGTACATCATCCTATTATGTTTTCTGATTACTGACAACAATCGTCTTCCGCAGCCTTAGTAAATATAAATAAGGGCTTGTCAGGCCTTAGCAAATATAGATATGGGCGTGTCAGGCCTTATTAAACATACATATGGGGTTGTCGGCCCCCTCACCCGGCCTATATCACGGACAAGGAGGAGCCAACCTGGAATATACCGGAGAGCTGTATCGGTTAACAACGTTAACGAACCTTGAACCTTCTGATCAGTGAGCCCGCGCCTTATTCACTGAATTAAACAAAACCTTACTGGTAACATAGATCAGAAATGACACCTACCGGTAAGGGCCCATAATACTTGGAGATTCATCGTAAAGTTGAAACAGTTCACACTAAACTAACAATAAACTACGTGTCTCCTGTTTTTATCTTCAGATCTAGAGGGATAAGATATACATGTACACTAAGGTCACTTATGTGTCATGAAGTGCTACAGTTTATCGATAACAGTTAAGTAAAAATAAATGTAGAGATTTATAGCCCCTTTTCTGGAATATTCCCCACATACAAATATATAAAATAAAATATAAAAAAAGTTATATTGTTTATCTCGCCCTCACAGGCAATAGTGAAAAATAACACGTGCATTTTATTTTTGCTAATTGCATGGTTGGAATGAGAATATTTGCTGTTAATAGGTACTAGAAAATATCAACTTGGTTTTGTAATGTGGTATAGTTGGTAAATAAGATAATTGCCATGTCATAGGGTTTTGGGTAAACTCTTTGACCTTTTGATCCCTAGTGACGTCACTATCAATCTAATTTGCATAACTGATATATCCCACTAAATGGCGAACAGATTAGTGTATATCGTCTTTTTTTAAGTACACTTCAAGATATTGCAAACAGATCACTTTGTCATATATAGTCTCAGGTCAAAATATAGTGTTCCATATATCCAATTTTATATTTGACCTACATAAAAACATGGGGTTGGGTTACAGTTGGGAGTGCCATGCATAGTGAGAATGAGAATATTTCCTGTTGATATGGATTGCCCTCTAAAATAGACCCTCGTCTAATAGAAAATATCAACTTGATTTAATAAGGGTGTGCATGTGCACCTATCTTTTCTGTAATGGGAGACTCTTAAACAACCCTTTATTCACGTCCTAAGCAACTATCTTAGCCTCTGTGATATGTTTTTAAAGAACTACAAACGTCCAAATATCCTGGACAAACCTGTTTATAACACCCCACCCACCCATACTTTCCATTTTTATTTGCAGTAAGTAATACAATTTACAGATAACTTTACTGCTGTTATTGCACTGTTGAGCGATATCTGCTTTATATCATTATGAATTATGAAGTATTGGATATCGTGTACCAAATGCGTTTCAGCACCATTTGTAAAAAGGGACTCGAAGAACGAGGCTAGACATATTCCACAAGTCATGTCAAACAGTGACTTCATATTCTTATCTGGAGAGCATGCGCAATAAATACTATCGGTGTAGACTGGAATAACCAGGCACTAGGGATTGCCATAAGATTGAGACTTCTGGCGTATTTCGCCGAACATAACTGATCAGAAATTACAGTAAAACCAGAAACGATTTAAAATAAATCAATTTATATACATTCATATTACATTATTATCTGCCTTGCGACCCATTTGAGTCAATTTCTAGGTCCCAAATATTAGCGATTTAGCTCCTTTAAAATAACTATAACATCGTATTATAATAGTTATAATAACATATCTACTTTTTTAAAAAGATATACGAGGTATCAGATACAATATAAACATATAATAAAATACAATAAATAAATATAATATACAAATATATATAATTGTTTGGTCATATTGTTATTGAGAAATACCTAAAATGTACATTTCGTTTGTGGTTGGTAAGTGAAAGATACAAACAAAAAAATGAATTTAATAATGTGTGACTATATAACGCTTATTGTAAAACGCCGTTCTACCATATAAATAAACCTATGCAAATTAAACATTGTTATATAATTATATTTAAAGAGAACAGATCGTATTCATTACGTTTTTTGTCGGTAAATGAACGGTATGAGTCAAAATCATTCATTTGTTAGATTTTTTTCTGCAAGCATACAAGTGTGGACATGTAATAATATGGTGGATTCATCGTCTATTTCTTTGAAATTACATGATCTATAAATTCTATTTACACGCTCTATTTCCTCGAAACGGTCTGTATCTACATTCAAGTTGTGGGAAGATAAACGCATTCTACATATAAATCTTTGATAGTTATATATATAGGTTTTCTTAAATAATACCGAAGATCAAAATGAGAAATAATATGCTGATATAGTATAGCTTTACCTGATTGAAAAATATTTTCAGTACACTTTTGTTTAAAGATGTCCAGAATTCTATTTTTGATAATAGGAAGATATGATTTATTATAATGACAACGTTCCCAAATATACTCCAATTCAGCATATAGTACACAATAATATTATCATGTTTAAAATAACCAGCACATAGTATTATAATATTATCATGTTAAAATAACCAGCACACCGTATTATTGTATTATCATGGTTAAAATAACCAGCACATAATATTATAGTATTATCATGGTTAAAATAACCAGCACATAGTATTATAGTATTATCATGGTTAAAATAACCAGCACATCGCATTAGTGTATTTTCATGGTTAAGTTTAATAAAATTATATTGCATTATATACAGATATTAATAAATGTAAATGAATGACGGAAAATCCTCTGATACAATATTTCTTTATCTATCCAGTAGACGTGGTACAAGGGTTAATCAGCGAACTGGATGTATGAGATGTGTTGTTGACGTTTGGGAAAGTCTGACGAGGGGAAATGTGTAGGGAGTGAAGTGCTGTAAAGGGATAGTTAGATGTATTATGAATGGTTAGAGTGGCTGTGGTGTTACGGTGAAATACTATGCCGCCACCGTAACACCACAGCTTTATGATTTGTTAGACAGGAGTGATGTAATGGGTGTCAACAACTGGGTATGCTGGTAGCGTCGCAACGTAGCCGTGAAATATATATTGTGGGGGGGGGGGGGAAGGGCGGAAACGGAAAAATATACAATGTTGACAGTATGTGCCAGGCATGAGGCTGCGCAGACCGAGCGGCAGCTCGATAGGGAGTGTGTGGGAGGGTCACCCTCATAAATTTTTTTTTTTTTAAATTTCAGTTTTCTGTAAGCAGTGAAAACACTATTTTGGCATTGTTTGCGGGGTTAAACCTAAAAATCACATTAATACACCTATTGCACGATATTGTGAAACTAGCTGACGAAGACAGCTCGGGCGGCGATTGTTCGACTCGGGGCTGCTCTGTCAGTATCTAACAAACGCATTTAGTTCGCGTACAACTTTTAAAAACCGAATGTCAGTATGGTATTTCTCACATAATTGGTTATCGCAAAAACAGAGTAAACTGAAAGCGAGTAATCTCGACTCAAACCTATAGTCTATAGCCTACTTACTACACTCGTCACTAGGCTTCCTATATTATTGTTTGTGGACGGTTTACTACTCAGTGATAAGCCTGCGCCACAAAAAGAGGTCTCGCCTTTTATTATTAGTATAATGACTTCCTCATGTGCGGCAGGTTAGTTTGCTTCTAAAAACACTGTTTTCCGTTCCAAAAAATACAAAAGTAATTTTCTACCAGATGACCATGGTTCGTTTCACCGAGACTAGATAATTTCTCTCGGTGTAAGGATATAGCTATGGATAAGTTCATACAAGGTCAATAAATCCGCGGTCACTTCGGGTCACACTGTTGAGAAAATAAACCGATGGGTTTGTTTAGTAGCAAATCGAGCGTGAATCAACTGAGTTTGTACTGAAAAATTTTTGAGTGATATGTATGAACTGTCTTCACACATTCGGTTTATAATTAGCGATACACAGGTACAGTGGCAAGTGTTGTACTTCACAGACTGTTTACCTCCGAACTACCTCCGCACGAAATCCCCGATTTGGGTACTTGTTAAAAGAAAAAGAAATAGTACCTGTGCGCATGCCAGTAAAAAAAACCTAAGAGTTCGCGCATAAAAATGCCCGAACGTACCAGGCGCCAGGTCATCTAGTAGACGTGGTACAAGGGTTAATCAGCGAACTGGATGTATGAGATGTGTTGTTGACGTTTGGGAAAGTAGGACGAGGGGAAATGTGTAGGGAGTGAAGTGCTGTAAAGGGATAGTTAGATGTATTATGAATGGTTAGAGTGGCTGTGGTGTTACGGTGAAATACTATGCCGCCACCGTAACACCACAGCTTTATGATTTGTTAGACAGGAGTGATGTAATGGGTGTCAACAACTGGGTATGCTGGTACCGTCGCAACGTAGCCGTGAAATATATATTGTGGGGGGGGGGAAGGGCGGAAACGGAAAAATATACAATGTTGACAGTATGTGCCAGGGACGCTAAAACTAAACAGTTTATTCAGATACAATCTTCAGTCTGAGAGTTATTCCGTATCCCAGAGGTTTAAACGAACCCCTATTCCTTTCTAAATACCGGTCAAATATGCCAAGGCGGCGATATTATTCTTAGAATCCCATTTATCATGACATTGTGTTTGCTTTAAGAACTTTTTGGTTTGGGCATCATACATCACTGTCATTTTCCTCTGAAAGTATCTTTAACTAGACATTTGTCTTTAACTGCTTTATCTCTTTTGGCTCAGCAAAGGGAAAGTAAATCACAAGATCATTTTGATCGTTTAATTTATAATCATCCTATTATCAGCCGGGCGCGGTTGCAGAAACTTGGAACAAGTTGGTCCAGTTTTTGAGCAACATCCAATGGAGTAGGTTATATTTATCCAACACCATAAGTAACGTTGATCTAATATTCAAAGTTTGGGTAGTTCATGGGTTTTTTTTCCTCAAACGTTAATTACAATGACATCAAGATTTGAACATCGATCATACTATTTTAGTTTCGGTGTGTGAATACTGCTCTGAGATTTGCCAAGATACACATTAAAATTTACCCGACATATATATAATATGGTAATTTCACCTCAATCAAACGTCAGTTGCTTTAATTAGTGAGTTCATTCCAATAGAAATGCCGTTCGTTCATTATGTAAGGGCGTGTCAAATTGATTTGACGAATTTTCATGACGTCAGAGCATTGCATTTGTTTTGTTTGTTTGTTTTTTTTAAAAAAGTACAACCGAGTTTAGGGTGCATCGCTAGAGCAAAGCTCTATTAAATCTGTCTTGTGTACGAAAAGATAATCATGGTTTCTTTTGTGGCTCTATTAACAGATGATTAATACGATGATTTAGTTTCGCATTTCTTCCTCACAATACACTTACTTTACGTTTCAGGTGCTATATTTTCAGAATAAACACATGCACATGTTCAACTGCATAACAACGTCACATTACTCTCTACTATGT